TTTTTCCTTTAACACCTTGGGACACCCTCCAGACATGAAATAAATGTAAATTTTTAATTCTTCCTATGAAGTCAGCCTCCATCAATATCAACACAGAAAATATGTTGTCTCATTGTAAGTCTCCTGTTTGAGATGGCAGGTATCAGCCAGCCTCAGTTGGTAGCACTCTTCTCTCCAAGTCAGAAGGTTGTGGATTCAAGACCTATGTTGAGACTTTGAACTCATTTAGTCTAGGCTGAAGCTCCAAAGCAGTCCTGGGGGTGTGCTACAGTGTGGTGGACTCATTGTTCAAATCAGAAAGCAAATTGAGGTCCTGTTTCTTCAGGTGGTCGTGAAAGACTCTTTGACAACAACAACAACAAGATAACATTTGTATAGCGCCTTTCACGTCGGGAGGACGTCCCAAGGCGCTGGACAGCGAACAGCATTCCAGACCCGAGCTGGGGTTGGCGTGGTAAGGGAGGGGAAGGGGGGTGACCGATGGCATGGTCGAAGAGGAGGGTCTTGAGTCGGGATTTGAAGGAGGCTAAGGAGGGGGCGAGGCGGAGTGACTGGGGGATGGAATTCCAAAGGTTGGGGGCAAAGTGACTGAAGGCTCTCCCACTAATGGTGGGGCAGATGGGACGGGGGATGCGGAGCAGGCCAGAGCCAGCTGAGCGGAGGGAACGGGCGGGTTGGTAGGGGGTTAGGAGGTTGCAGAGGTAGGGTGGGGCGAGGCCATGGAGGGAGCTTTTCCTGATGTCCTGGCTAACAAAATAAATAAAATTGGTTACACACTTTGTGGCTGTTTGTGGGATATTGCTGTGCACAAATGAGCTGCCTCGTTTATCTATGAATAAAAAGTTACTATGCTTTACAGAGAACCTAGTGAAGCCCATTTAGATGTTCTCCCGAAGGCTTGGTACCACATGTTCGGATTGTTATTATGGATTGAAATTCACCAGCTTCAAATAATTTCCTTGTAAAAGAACTCACACTCATAATTAATGTTTCCACTTGAGTAATCTGTACATGGGGGTATCTTGTAGGAACTAGAAGGAAAAAAAAGTCAAATCCCCTGCAGCACAGGTGAGGAGAACAGATTAGGATAGACAGTTTGAGTCAAAGAATGTTTCAACACAGAAGAATGTCATGAAGCCTATCATGCCTGCACCAGTTCTCTGTAAGTGTTGTTTGTTTCTTCCCTCTCCTTTGCGTCTTGCCTACCACCCTTTTTATATTTTTCCTTGGGGGAATTTTTAAGTAACTAGTCACACAAGTTTAACAGCTGTTTCCTGCAGTTTATGTTATCTCTTCCCATCCCTTCCACCATCCCAGTCCCCTCTACCCCACATGGTTTGAGATTTGGAGTTTTGCTGGATTTCTGAGTAGGAAAAAACAACCTTCAATTTTTTTTTTAGACTGTCTTGACAGTCATTATGTCTGGTGTTTGAGCACGAGATAGTGTGGTCAGTCTACTCACTTGTCAGCTGTTTTAAAGCTGAGATCACAGGGACCCAGGCTGGGGTTTGCTCTGACCTGCCCATGTGCTCAGACACTGGAGCAGTTAAACCTCCACTGGTTTTACCATGTGGATTGTTTCATCCTGTCACCGGTATGTTTTTTTGTGAGCTTCGAAGAATTGTATTCTGAAGTTAGCCATTCAAAGGCTGGGTTCATATCTCCAAATGCAGGAGAGTCTCTAAATATTCAGTATTGTGGGGACTAATTTACAGTAACAGTAAGGAATCCAAGCTAACCAGAACTACATAATGTCAATTTATGGGAATTGTGCTCCAATGTGATATACCTATTGAGAGAAGTTTACAGTGGATGAGGGAAATTCTGAAATTGTAACAGAATTCTTTAATACCGCAATTTAGACCTCATATTGGTTACCTTTCAATGCTAATACCCAAACTCTCCTATTAGGAAGCCTTTTGAAAACCGGCAAAGAATTATTATAATAATAATAATCCTTGCATTTGATATAGCGCCTTATCAAGTCATTGAGACATCTCAAAGCACCCCGCCGAACATACTGTAAAGTGAATTGACTGGATATTTTGTGGGCGAAACACGGCAGCTAATTCTGTACAGAAGTGTCCTACAAACACGTCGCGGATTGAGTGACCAAACTTTTTTTGAAGGGATTATTACCCTTGGAAAGCGAACTGACAAACAATTAACAAATGGGATCCAGTTTACTGCTAGGTAAACAGGTTAGTGGAGTAAGGAAATTTGCCTAAGGTATCTCACTGCCCGGGAATCGAACTTGGGTTCTCTTGCATGGGAGGCGAATGCTCTAATCAATGCGCTACAGGACTCCACATTTATCATTAATGCCTTTGAGCCTTCTGTTCCGATCAGCAGAGCAAGGCTGTACTTTCCAGGTAAATATGTATCTCCCTTTGTTCCTGTCCTGACCTTTTTCATTCTGGAGGTGGAGCTCTTCGTTGCACAAGTCACAGGAGATCTACCTGCTTAGAAATTAAGGGGCTAAGGACATTCAGCGCTGGGGGATTTGACTTCTTTTCGTCATAGGTTCGTGACCTGGCAACCATCCCCTCCCTTCCTCCCTCCTCCCACAACCCCAGGGGACAAGATTTTACTTAATGTAAAATGATATAATCCCAATATGTTCTGGAAAAGTTGTCCAGGTTGCTAACTGGCGGAATGTGGGGAGTGACTTCTTGGATTTCACTGGCAATCCCTCCCCCAGGCCCTCACCTGCAATTTCCGCCTCTCCAATCCCCAAGTTGGGACATGCAGTTAATTTAAAAAAAATTTAGTTCAGTCAAGTTGCTTTATAGCAATTCAAATGACAAGGATCTGAAGACAGGCTCTGCTGAGCAGAGACCAAAGCTGGCGTGTAACTCAATCGCAGTAATGTAGGACGGAGAGCAATGACCGATAGTAACCTCCCTACTGCCTTCAGTGCACTCAAGTACTGAGGAATGAGCGACGCTGCTGTTAAAATCAGCTGGCTGACAAACTGGAGTTGTGCCAAAAATTGGGCTGAACAACACAAAGGAAGTGCTGACTGGCTGAAGGAGCCTTGCTCCGGGGTATGCTGCATAGATCTGTTTCCTCCTACACACAGAGTTTATAGAGCTTGGCCAAATGCATTTAAATGGCATAAATACAAAATCAAGTTGTTTTTAAAACAACAAGCCAATTTCTACGAGGACAGTATCATTTGTTTTCATTTGTGCCTCTTAAATCCTTCTGATTTATTAGAAAGAACGCTGGATGTTGGGAGAGTTGTGTTGTTTATCAACAAATCTGTCTTATTTGTGCCAAATTCCCCCCACAATTGCTATTCTGTTCTGTATTGGACTCCCCACCTCTTATTGACGAGCAAAAGGTGTTAATTTGGTCTGTGTGACACTGCCATAAAGTGATCTTATCATTCATCTTTATACAATGTTTTCACTATTTATTGCTAGTATTATTTGCGCAGTTCCTTTTGTATTCCAACTTAGGTGCGTTCTGCTATCATTTACAGAAAGGTAGCAGGGTTGAAACATTTGAAAAACTCCTTCAAGGCAGACTTATTCCTTTGACTTGTTGCTGATTTAGTTAAGGAAGTCTGGGTCATTTATAAAGGTGCAGTCTTACTTATTGAAACTCATGATCCTTGGCATTAGAATTGCTACAAAGTAACTTGACTGAACTACATTTTTTTTAAACATATGAAAGGTTACTGTGGGTTGATTTTACATGTCATAACGTGCTAGTACAATTTTGTCCCACTGCTGCCAATAACTCTTTCTTTCTTGCTTGCTGCCTTTCTCTCTCTCTATCTTTTTCGCTTTCATTCTTCAGTGCTAGAGTGCCATGTTAGGAATCTCACATTGACTTGCAAATAATTTGTTTTGGGATAGTTTTAAAATTCCTATCTTTGTTTTTATAATATAATAATAATTCTTGCATTTGATATAGCGTCTTATCACGTCTTCGCGACATCTCAACACACAGAATATATTGTAAAATGAATTGACTGTATAATTTGTGGGTGAAGTGTAGCAGCCAATGTCCCACAAACAGTTGTGGATTGCGTGGACAAATTATTATTATTTTTTTCAAGAGATTGTTACCCCGGAAAAGCGATCCACCAATCAACTAACAACTGGGTTCCTACTTACTCCTAGATAAACAGAGGCATGTGGAGTAAGGAAACTTACCTAAGTTTTCGCCCGGCCTGGGAATCGAACCCAGGTCCTTTCTTTGGGACTTTGGGACAATGGTTTGGTCTGAAGCATCTTTTTGAGATTGCTCTGAGGCAGCACCTGAGTGTTGCTCTACAGCACGTTACTCAAATTTGCCATTCCCCCCCTATCAGGAGCACAGAGATCTTTGGGATCTCCCAAGTACCAAAGCCAGAGCGGTACTGCTGATCATGGTGATATTCTAGAGAGAAATGGTTTGGAATATGGACCAGCTTCTCCAGGGCATGCTTCCACTTCTCTCTTTCAGACCTGCCAGACAGCTTCTGGTGTGTTGGTGGCTTTGACCCAATACTGGGATGGTTTGCTTTCATTTCTTTCAGAAAATTAATTCCTTAAGGGATAAATTACATACAGCAGGTAGTAAATAATAATCCTTGGATTTGAAATAGTGCCACATCATGTCAAAACTTCTCAAAGCGCTTCACAGTGTTTTCTGTAAAGTGCATTAGTCAATAACTTTGTGACTGTTTGTGGCATGTTGTGGTGTGTAAATCGGCTTCTGCCTTCACCTACAAAACAAAGTCACTGCACTTTAGAATGAATCCTTTGAAGTGCTTTGAGAAGTAATGCTGATGCAAAAGATGCTGCATCAATAGCAAGGATTGAAAGTTCTGACTCAATTGTTTGCTTCTTTTGTGGAATTAATATGTTTTCCCTGATGGTGTTGGTCGTGCCTACTGTCTGATTCAATATCTCTTTTGCCATCTATCTGTACAGCTCATGCCATCTGACCAGCAATAGTAAGGCTGTTGGAGCTTATTTGCCAACATTGACTTATTTTGGTTACAGATTTCAGACTCCAAGATTTTCTCATTGACAATGAGACCCTTTCGGAGTTTCTCTATGATAACATGGCACTTGACCACTACAAAGTGAGTGAGATCATGGATGCTGGTGTGAATTTTGAAGAGGTAAGAAAGGTTATTGATTAACAATAAATAATATGATTTACATGATTCCCTTGATGCAAATTCACACTATGTAGCTGCATGGATATGAATGACGATGATAGATCCTGTAGTAACATTACATTTGATCACTTTCTCCTATCCCCACTGCCACATAGCTTGATTAATTTAGTACTCAAAGGAATATTCCTAAACTCATTCCATTCCTTAATGATTGCCAGAGCTAATAAGGGATGACACATAAATTGCTGATAAAACATGTTCTTGAAACCCATCCTGAACCTGAACACTCCCTGTTTTGGGATAATGGTTTCTCCCTCAGATTTTCAAAATGATGGCTGCCATCTTTGTTTTTAATTTAGTCAGAGACAACGTTTTTTTCATCATCGCTGCAAGACTGTCATTTCAACTGTTGATCTTTGCTTTTGCAATTAGTTTTAGCTTTGCACAATCTGATTAGATTTCTCCAGTCTGTGTGGGATTCTAAACAGCGGGAGAGAATGGAAAGTGGTTAGGTGCTTTGAAATTCCACATAATGGTAGGGAATAGTTAGTGGTTAGTACATTGGACTAATTGTTCAAATTGGGATTGAATGTATCAGGAATTAACTGGACTTTTTCATACAGTGACTTTAAGTCTGTAATCTTATTTCACAGTTCAGATCTGTTGGAAGTTTCAAACTGCTCGAGTCTCACTTTTACAATCTGTGATACTGTAAACAGTAATCGATGAGGAGGATAGTAGCAGACTGCAAGAGGACATAGATAGTCTGGTAAAATGGGCAGACACGTGGCAGATGAAGTTTAATGTGGATAAATGTGAAATGATGCATTTTGTGAGGAAGAATAAGGAGAGGCAATATAAGCTGATGGTAGAATCTTAAAGGGGGTGAAGGAACAGAGAGACCTGGGGGTTCATATAAGTAGATCTTTGAAGGCACGATAGGTAAATAAAACTTTTTAAAAAAGCATACTGGATACTAGGCTTTACAAATAGGGGCATAGAATACAAAAGTCAGGAAGTTATGATGAAACTTTATAAAACACTGGTTAGGCTTCAGCTAGAGTACTGTTCTGGGCACCACACTTTAGGAAGGATGTCAAGACATTAGAGAGGGTGCAAAGGAGATTTACCAGGATGGTACCAGGAATGAGGGACTTCAGTTATCAGGAGAGGCTAGAGAAGCTTCGATTATTCTCCTTGGAGCAGAGAAGGTTAAGAGGAGACTTAATAAAAGTTTTCAAACTTATGAGGGGATTCGATAGGGTGGGTGGGTCGTTAACCTGAGGACACTGGTTTAAAATAGTTGTTAAAATAAATAGAGGGGAAGTGAGGAGAAATGTTTTCACACAGCGAATTATTTGGATCTGGAATGCATTGCCTAAAAGTGTGATGGAAGCCGATTCAATAACAACTTTTAAGAGAGAAGTAGACAATTATTTGGGGCAGACAAGTTTGCAGGTCGATGGGGAGAGAGTGGGGTAGTGGGATTGATTTGGATAGCTCTTTTAAAAGAGCCAGCACAGACACGATAGGCTGAACGGCTTCCTTCTGTGCTGTATGATTCAATGATTCTATGATATATTAGAAGATCGCTTGATGAAATTACAAACTTGAAATTGATGAATTCCATGATACAGTTTATGTAATGATTGTGTTGGATCAAGATTATTTACTCACAGTCTTTTATTGGACTTTGCTGCTTACATCGAAAGTCATGCCACTGCGAAGGCAATCATTCAAAATATTCAATGACTTGCACGTAGCTCTTTGTAGCTGCAGAGATTTTACATGTTGCTGTCTGTCGCTCATTGCAGGTTATCACCGCTGGGCGAGGGTTACAGCTGAAGGACCTTTGCAATGGCACAAAGCTGGAGGATTTTGTTATCATTGGAAACCACTCGGTGGCTGACTACATTCAGAACCTTATCTGCACGTTGTCTGAGAACGAGCTGAAAAAAGTTGAGCAAGCATTTTATTTGAACCTGGATTTTCTAAAGATAGCAGAAGTAAGTAGTGTATTTAATTTACATAAAACAAAATGCAAAATACTGCAGGTTCTGGAAATCTGAAACAAAAATCCATTTTCTCCTTTGTCTTCCTTGCCCTGCTCCCCCCTCCCTGTTAGCTCTTTAAAGCTTCTCCCTCCCAAAATGCCCCAGTTCTGACAAAGGGTCGTGGACTCGAAATGTTGACGCACTTTCCTTTCTCCATAGATGCTGCCTGACCTGCTGAGTATTCCCAGCGACTTCTGTTTTTATTTAATTTACATCATTACTGTGCACACTAAACATCGACATAATTAAGTTATTTGATGACCTGGACTTTTTTATTGACTTGTGCTGTTTGTTAATTGTTGTGCCATGTTGGGATGGGATGCAATGATTATTTTGCTTGTGGCATCCATAGAAAAACTGAGAGTAAGCTCTCAATATATTTAGCTGAAACATTAGTATGTTTTTTGTATGGTTTTGGCAATATATGAATTAGTTCTTACTAAAAAAAGGGTTAATTTTATATTGTATATCTGGAAATGGTCGACCATCAAAACCATTAATTAAACATTAAACCATTACATTACATGTGTATAAATCAGACTTCATGATATACAAATCTAGTGCATTAGTGCATTTACATAGAGAAGAAATGACCATAGGTACAGATCCATCCATACATTAGGATGCATGCATTAGGAACCAGATGAATCTGAATCTGCCAATTCTTATGAAAGGTCCTGAACTGTTAATCTATAAATCGACTTGCTGTGAATTTCCAGTATTTTCCATTTTATTTTTTCTCCAAAGCACACTGTCGACTATGCAGTCTTTAACAACATTTTGGTGGCTTACACTCCATAGACCCTAAATTGTTCACTGATCAATTCCCCTGTCCCCAACATAATAATCATTTGATTTCACATTCTGTGATATGAAAGTGAGATCAAGCATTTGTAATTATCAAATCCTGAAGGGTCTGAGTCTCTCCATTCCCATATTCACAAAAGTAGATCCCGTTGAGTTCCCAAGGTCAAATTGGTTACTGACAGCATTCAATATTTTCGGACATGAATATAAGTACCGAATTTAGATTCCCCATTGTTGTTGTTGTCCTGCCAGCTTCTGTTTCTGACCGGTGTTTCCAGCTGTTGAGTTCTAGCCCATGCCATTTTGTCTAATGTGTGTCCCTTCTCTGGAGAGAGGTGGAGTTGTGGTGATGGGGTGACCTCTCCACTGAGCTCCCAAGGAGAAGCAAACCAGATATATCATTCCTGTAGACAGATACACAGCTTCAAACATTGTCTGCCCATCACTGCATCGAGAGGAAATCTGTATGGGAGAAAACTTCAGAAACATTTTAGTCAATCTTCTATCCTGAAGGAATCAGGGCATAGTCTTTACATTTAGCAGCTGAGGTGACGTACATTTTTTTCCCTCGGGCTGTCAACTTTGGTCACTCAATCCACAACTGTTTGTGGGACACTGCTGTGTGCAAATAGTTGCCACGTTTTGCCCACAGAATACACAGTGTTTATAGTATATTCTGTGAAGTACTTTGAGACATCTCAGCAATGTGATAAGGCATTATATCAAATGCAAGGATTATTATTATAAGAGATAAGTTCCAACATTAAACATAGTTTGGCAGCACTTTTGAAAAGTTATGTCAAAAATGTCTAAAATTGCAATTTGAGCTGGAGATAAAGGTTTAACCTCAGTAATGCACACTCTACAACTAATAACCAACAAAAGAAATTCCTCTCATAAAAAAGGGTCAAAAGATGATGCTAAACAAAAACATCCGAATTTGAATAAGTGTTTAGCCCAACGTGGGTGAATTTCCACAGATCTGAATCTATTGTACAGAACAAGAGAAATCCATTTCAGCAACCATGGCCACAAATTGTCCTTATCACAGTGGAATTAAAATGCGGCTGATTTTGTCATTGAAGAATAATGTCTCCAAGTGTTGCAATGTGTTTTATTTTAAGTGACTTCAGTGACACAAAGCTGTTGTTGTTGATTTGAAGTCTTTGGGTCATGATTATTTTCGCCAGTCAGAACTAAATGTTACATCGTCTTTCCACTAAAATAGCTTCTCATGACTGGTATGGAAGCAGCATTGTTAGTGACCACTGATGACAATCGTGTATGGTGACATGATTCACTACACCAAGAACTCCCATCTATTCAGTGTTGTAAATATTGCCCCTTTTAAGGCACTTCACAAGATTTATTATGGGCCATCAATTTACTCACAGCAATAAACAGTAGAAGAATTAATCTGTTCCCCCTTCTCTCCTTATAGACTGCAATGAAGACAAATCCTCAGTCAGCATTGGAGGTAACTGAGGCCACGAGGAATGTATTCCAGAATCTCATAAAGCTTGCTGAAGAGGTATATTACATGATAACTTTACAAGTGTCTGTGAATTGTTTAGCATATAAATATGGAATTAAAGGGCATGTTTGTGGTGCCAATCACCTGACTACCTATTACATCTGGGGGCAATGCATTCTCTGTGCAGAATCCAACTCAATCCCACTGGCCCGCTTTCTCTCCATAGCCCTGCAATCCTGTCCTCCCTAAATACCCATCTACTTCTCTCTTAAAAGTTGTTATTGAATCGGCTTCCACTACCCTTTCAGGTAATGCATTCCAGATCCGAACAACTCGCTGGGTGAAATATTTTTTCCTAACCTCCCCTGTTTCATTTAACAACTATCTTAAATCTGTGTCCTCGGGTTACTGACCCACATGCCAGTGGAAACAGTTTTTCCCGGTTCAACCTATCAAATCCTCTCATGATCTTGAAAACCTCTATTAAATCCCCTCTTAATCTTCTCTGTTCTAGGGAGAATAATCCTAGTTTTGCTAATCTCTCCTCATAACTAAGGTCCTTCATTCCTGGTACCATCCTGGTAAACTTCCTTTGCACCCTCTCCAATGTCCTAACATCTTTCCTAAAGTGCGGTGCCCAGAACTGAAAGCAGTACTCCAACTGAGGCCTAACCACCATTTTATAAATATTCAACATAACCTCCTGACTTTTGAATTCTATGCCCCTATTTATAAAACCTAGTTTCCCGAATGCTTTTTTAACAGCTTTATCTACCTGTCCTGCCACCTTCAGAAATTTGCTTATTTGGACCCCCAGGTCTCTCTGTTCATTTGGCCCCTTTAAGATTGTACAGTCAGCTTGTACTGCATCTCCTCATTCTTCCCACCAAAATGCAACACTTCACATTTCTCCACATTAAACCTCATCTGCCACGTTTCTGCCCATTTTACCAATCTGTGTAAATCCTCTTGGAGTCTGGTGCTATCCTCCTCACCATTAACTACTTTTCCTGACTTTTCCAAATCTGCAAATTTGGAAATTGTGCTCCCTATATCCAGGTCCAGATCATTAATATAGATCATAAAGAGCAGTGGTCCCTATACCAACCCCAGAGGGACACCACTACACACCTCCCTCTAGTCAGAAAAGCAACTGTTTACTACCACTCTCTGCTTTCTGTCTCGTAGCCAGTTCTGGATCCATGTTGCCACAGTCCCTTTAATACCGTGGGCTTCTATTTTGTTTATAAGTCTCTTTATAAGTTATACATCTATAGCGCCAACTGTGTTATGTCTAATTGACCAACTCAATCTAATTGATCAACTTTGTTAGATTTTTCTGGCCAAATGTTTGTGATCATTAAGGTGAAAAATATTAGTGTTGAGCAATGGAACATGTCCGTCCTTTTCTGGAAGTACATGGAGTAACCTGGACTAACACAGAGTAAAGTTATCATCACTTGCCCCGAAAATATGTCACAGAATCAACTTCAGAACTTCAAATTGCACAGGTGTTGTTTTTGTTCCCTGCACCAGCATGTTTGTGGTTATGAGCACAACCCATTAAACCCTCATACACGCATTCGTCACCTCAAGGCTCGACTATGGAAACTCCCTCCTTCCCAACTCCTCCATCCACAAGCTGCAGATCATCCACAACTCTGCAGCTCGTGTCCTCTCTCGCACCAGGCTCCGTGACCCCATCACCGCCACCCTCGCTCGACTCCACTGGCTCCCCATCCCTCAGAGGATACAGTTCAAAATCCTCTTCCTCACATTCAAGGCCCTCCACTGCCTTGCCCCCTCCTACATCTCTGACATGCTAACCCCCTATCAACCTATCCGCTCCCTCCGCTCAGCAGGCTCCGGCCTGCTCCAGGTCTCCCGCCCGACCCGCCCTACCATTGGCTTTCAGCCTCTCTGCCCCCACTCTTTGGAACTCCATTCCCACAATCCGTTTGTCTTGCTTCTTCAAGGCATGACTCAAGACCCTCCTATTTGATGCTGCCTTCAGCCGCCCTCTTACCCCCTCTCCCCTCCCTCATCCCAACCCTGCCCCCCACGCTCGGGTCCTGATCCCTGACTGTTCAGCGCCTTGGGAGATCCTCCAATGTGAAAGATGCTTTACAAATGTAATTTTATTTTGTGATTGTTCTTGTTAGCGACTCATTAAGGGTTCTCAAACTCAGTTCCAAACAAAAATAATAATAATTTGGTTACTCAATCCACGACTGTTTGTGGGACACTACTGTGCACAATTGGCTATCGTGTTTTGCCCACAAATTATAGCCAATTCACTTTACAGTTTATACTGTGAATTGCTTTCAGACGTCTCAAAGGCGTAATAAGGCATTTTATCAAATGCAAGGATTATTATTATTATTAATTGAGTTAGACGTTGAGAGCACAACCAGACGGACAAAGGTTTAAAATTAAGAAGCTTAATTGGGACTGGAGATAAAAATATTTTTTACCATACAGACGTAGATGCAGATGTATGGTACAGACTCACAGCAAAAATAGTTTTGTGGATTAAATTATTCAACAACAACTTGTGTTTATATAGCACCTTTCCGTGGGGTTAGTGTCTCCGAGTACCATTCAAAATGAACTAGTTAAGTATCTTCTTGAGAACAATAATATTGGAAGCTGTATACAGATAGGCACAAGCTGTACAATTTATTTAATAATTTATTTGCGCCTGGGGCTAGTTGGAGCGGAGGCTTGGAGGGTGGGGAGTAGAGCGAGGGCACTAAGAAAGAGCCAGGTGTAGGTAGTGAGAGTTGGGGAAAATCATCTGAAATTTCCATGCTTTCTTAGAAATCAAGTGTTCATGCAGTTTTGTCAGACTCCACCACTGTGAAGCGCTCCGGGACGCGTGAACGGCGCTAAATGCAAGGATTATTATTATTATTATATAAATGCAAGTTGTTGTTTTAAAAAAAGTGTTGTCAGAACTTTGCTGTAACACATAATAAGGGAACAGTATGCAAACTCTGATAAAAAGTGCCAATTAATCTAAATAGCTGGAACATGTCTGTTGTTCTTTGCAAGTACATGTTTACCACAGCAGTATTTTCTCCTTTTTTGTATATTTCATAAGCTGTATTGACAACCTGTTCACAAGATCTGACATGGCAGTACATTCGGTCATATATGCAGCTGCTATTTAGCGTGAAATCTGTAACGTGAATAGTGGCTATTATTCTGAAAGCTACCCATATTTGGGCACTGATTCTTGAATGCGCATACACACATTGGACACACAAGAGCTTCTCGTTGAATGAACTATAGTAACCCCAGTGTTTTGTCAGAGACTGAAGAGCCTTCCCAGCTTACATATGGTTTCATATTTCATGGTTATTTCTAATAGCCTTTTCCTTTGCATAATAAAAAAAGCACAAGAAGTGCTTGGAGAAAGTTGCTTGCCAGAGCCAGTGTTCAGTAAAAATGCAAACATTGCTATAAATGTAAAAAGTTCTTTGCATTGGAAATATATTTTGACTTGTGGAGTTATCCTTGCACGTGAGCAGGCTGCGGTTTCAGATTACAGCTCTTTCCTGTTACAGCGTTTAGGTTTGCTTTTGTCTGGTGGCAGAAATAATTGAAACCGTATGATACAAAGCTTGCTGATGTGGGGAAGTCATTCCAGTACTGTACATACTGCACAGAGGAACTTGCGTCTGGACTCCTCCCAGCATGCAAATTCTTTAGCGAGATATATGCTTACATCAGCCCTCATTTATAAACTATCAAAACATGAACTGTAGTTACCTCGTCTTGAGGATATCTTTTCACTCACAAACAGCAGCTGACTCGTGACCAGAAAGCGACTACATTTCGCTATATTGGCATTTGAGTGGTGATCAAGTTTAGCGAGTCTGCCACTTGCAAAAGGGATGAGAATTCCCCAGTTGGTCTGCCTGAGCAGTGTGATTGGGGTCTACGATCTCCAAAAGTGACTAACGGGCAAAAAAAAAAGCGCGGAGAGGACTAGCAGCAGGGGAGAATGATGGATCGCTTTACTGTCTATTTTCGCACTTTGGTGAAATTGACCAGTGATCTGAACAATTCACTGGTCCAGGTGGTGTTCAGTCGCAAACAATTCTGACCAAGCTTACACATGGCTCCATCTTCCATTATAATAACGAAACTCCAATTGTTTGTTACTGTACCAGTACAGGACGAGCTGTTGGTATACAGTGGAATCCTCTGTAATGAGCTTTGTTAGAACAGAGTTTCTCTGCGAGTTTGCCTATTGTGTGGGGGATTTGAAGCCTGATATTAACGTACCCAAAATATCCAAATTGTGTGGTTCTGTTTCATCACCACTTCACTGCATCTTCGAGGAAAGCTAATACAGCTACTGGTGTGGTAGAAGCTAAGGTGACAGACTTTCGGGTCACGGCCTATGTCACTTTCTGTGCACTGATGGCGAACTGATGACCTGAGAGGGTCATTTTGGATTGCTGTGCAGGCCCAGTGATTGTGGAAATGATGACTGGTGATCAGACCCTGTAATATCTCTGCTTGGAACTTCATGGATCTCTGACTACTGCATTGTAACCGAGCTCCATAGTTTGCTTAACAATACAATATTGGAAACACCCATGGTAAATATTTTTTGAGCTTGGTTTTAGTTTTCTTTGAGATTCAATTTGCTTTTTTGTCTCTTTTTTGAACTTCCTTGGGCTTCCTTTGAATTTTTCAACAGTTGAGCTCCAACAATATTGCGTCAAATAACTTAAGTAAAATCAATGCTTAATAATACAGCTTGATGACTGCTTCAATGATCAGATTTCTAAACCTTAAACCTACAATTATAGGTGTGAGGTATTAGATGTAACTTCAACATAACCCAGGAATCAGAAGCTAAGAATTAAAACTCTGGTTCAATAGATTGTTTCCACTGCACAGAGATGTCTGCCAACTGGACTCTCCCTCACTAAATGATGTCAGTATTTGTCTGCAGAAAAGAAAGCAGAGAGGGAAAAAGTTGAGGAAAAATTGAAAAGACCTTTTGAAGCATTGCATTTTGACATTTCCCTCTTCAGTCTATAAACTAATGCCAGGTCCTTTGCTCCTTACAGTATCTGCGATTTTGAACACTTTAAACATGCTCTGTAGACTTTCCTTGTCTCGATCTACAATACAGTCATTGTAGCATAACTTTCCCCAGTGAAATTGTGGTCAGATATAGTGAAGATGCAGCTCTTTCCTATAATGTCAGTTTTCCAGTGATCTGAAATTCATAGTTATAGTTCAATGGAGGAAGTTGGCGTCAGCTTGGCTCAGTTGGTCATGGATCAGAAGGATTGTGATTTCCACCCCACACCAGGAATTGAACTCATAATTTAGTTGAGATTCGGGAACCATCATAACTTTGGCGATATTAAATTAATCCGGTAACTCTGCTTCAAAAAGGAGAGAGGGAGTTCATTGTTAATATGCTTACCTTATCCAAAAAGAAACTAAATTTGGTCTTTTATCTTGTTACTGGTGTTGGAGCTTGCCTCCACAGATGAGCTGTAGTATTTGTCCATTTAACAGTAGTTCTAGCACTTCAAAAGATTACTTGAATGGATATAGGATATTGCACCAATAAAGTCTGCACCTCCATTTGAAACACAGTAAATGCATTGAGTGCAAATATTACAGTATTTTGAAACTGGAAGCAGATCTCTACGATCCGTGTGTTAAGATTGCAAAGTTGTACAGAAATAGAAACACTTTGTTTAAATATGCCTCTTGTTCAGCTGACATCAGTGAAGAGCTGGAGTGACATGAGAAGAGAGGTGTTGCTGTTGTCACACAAGAACATGACAGGGTCACCGCAGGAGCTGTATCAGGCCGTATCCAGGATTGTGTGCGGACACCCCGAAGGTGGGGGGTTGAAAATTAAGTCTCTGAACTGGTACGAAGACAATAACTACAAATACCTTTTGGGTGAGAACAACACGGATGAGGAGCCTACTCCACAGTATGACAATGCTACAAGTGAGTGCTTACGCAGGATATTTATTTGATTATCGAGGCAATGTGAAACCGTTGTTTGTCGTATAATTGGGAGGTGGGGGATGGGGAAGTTATGAAGAATAGCACAGAATTGTATTAACTTTTAGACTCCACATAATTGCAGTGGGGGGAAGGGAGGGGAGGGGAAGGGGAGTGGCCGATGGCATGGTCGAAGAGGAAGGTCTTGAGGCGGGACTTGAAGGGGGCTAAGGAGGGGGCGAGGCAGAGTGACTGGGGGATGGAATTCCAGAGATTGGGGGCAAAGTGGCTGAAGGCTCTCCCATCAGTGGTGGGGTGGGTGGGTTGGGGGACGTAGAGCAGGCCGGAGCCGGCTGAGCGGAGCGAACGGGTGGGTTGGTAGGGCGTTAGGGGGTCACAGAGATAGGGTGGGGCGAGGCCATGGAGGGCTTTGTATGTTAGGACCAGGATCTTGAACTGGATCCTTTGAAGGATAGGGAGCCATTGGAGTTGGGTGAAAGTGGGGGAGATGGGGTCATGGAGTTTGTTGCGGGAGAGGACACGGGCTGCAGAGTTCTGAATTATCTGCAGCCTGTGGAGAGAGGAGTTGGGAAGGCCGACAAGTAGGGCGTTTGCATAGTCGAGCCTGTTAGGCATTGTTGGGCTTCAATTGAGCTCAGTAGTTCTCAGTAGCACTCATGCTCTCTGAGTCAGAAAGCTTGAAGTGATATTGCAGTACAGCACTGGAGTTACCCTGCTATGCATAAGACATTTGTCTGCCTGTTCAGATGGTTACTGTATATTTTATGATACACTTTGAAAAGAGTAGGGATTTTCTCCCAATAACCTGGCCAGCAATTCTCAGGGCTGTTTGTAGGGCTTTCCTGTCTGCAAAACGACTGCTGTTTCCAGCATTGTTGTAGCGCTCTGGAATGCTATCTTGTGTGTAGGATGCCATATGCAATGCAAGTTGTTGTTTTGTTTTTTGTAGCTCAAAGTAATGAGATCTGTTATGTTTATTAAGAATCCAACAGTAACGTTCAAGAAGAATGGTTTAACTTGGAAAGTATTTTTTTCAATTCATTTTAGCACCATACTGCAATGACTTGATGAAAAATTTAGAATCAAATCCCATTTCAAGAATGATTTGGAGGGCAATGAAACCTTTGCTGGTTGGAAAAGTTCTATACACTCCTGATACTCCTGTAACTCGGCGGATCATAAAAGAGGTAAGCTTTACATTTACATGCATCAACATAACCAGGAAAATGGGAACTTTTTTTCAACTGTACTTTATTTCCTCAATTTCTTCCCAGACATAAAGACTTGCTTCATTTATTTCAGGTTAACAAGACCTTTCAGGAACTGAGTGTCTTCCAAGAGGTCGGAGTGATGTGGGACGATATTGGGCCAAAGGTCTGGAAATTTATGGAAAGAAGCCAGGAGATGGACCTAATCCGGGTAAGCACTTATATGGGAATTGAGATAAAGATTTGAAGATTATAAAATCTGTTTCATTGACAATTCTGCATTCATTTTACTAAAGGAATAATACCTGTCCAACAATAAAGAGCCACCTGTGCAACAGATGGCTGAAAATTCTGCCCGTTGATAACTAATAACATTGACTGTTCTGCTGGTGTGAGCTCACACTGTTAGGTCTGCATCTGCACTTTGCCACCCATCGACCTGCCAACTTGTACAGTGCATTGGAGTATTGCTAAGTAAGATACTGATTTAATGCTGCATAAAAAACAAGTAAAGTTGGTATCTCACCAATTGACAAGTCAAAATCTACTGTCAGAGAGTCGATTTTGGGGCCAGCCAGTGTGATGGAGTAGGACTGGAGTGACATCTGTGGACTAGTTAATGTGTTTTGTTATCTATTAGCCACATATTAATTACTAGTGTTAATCAGCACAACACAGTCACATTTTTCAGCCCAACACTGCATTTTGCTGACAATTTTAGCTCAGGATTATGTCAGATATTTATATCAGAAATACATAATGAAAAAGACAGACAACTTGTAGTTCGATGAGACACCTAAAATTTACAAAATAAAAATTAATCTGTGGCTGATTTAAAAAAACAGCCAGGCGCTAGATGCTGAAAAGGCAATATGGTGATTTATGGCAATGTGGAGTAGCTCAGTGGTTAGAGCACTCGCTTTGCTACCCGAGTTCAATTCCAGACAGGACGAAACCTTGGGCAAGTTTCCTTACTCCACACGCCTAATAATAATCCCTCCAAAAAAACAAAACAATAATAAATTGGTCATTTTCAATCTACAACTGTTTGTGGGACATTGCTGTGCGCAATTGGCTGCCGCGTTCGCCCACAAATATACAGTCAATTCACTTTACAGTATATTCTGTGAAGCTCTTTGGGACGTCTAGAAGACGTGAAAAGCGCTATATCAAATACAAGGATTATTATTATTATTATGCTGGCATTAAATAAGGAATAACACAATTTTTACTCAATAGTTCCCGTTCTTGCCAGTACCATGTTAATTGACAGTAAACACTTCACAATATTGGTTCGATGAAGAAGGCTTTTTGGCCATCTGATCTCATCCTTCCAGAACACCCACCCTACTGACTCCCATCACAGCATCAAGTTGCTTTTTAAATAAGTCCAGAATCCATCAAGTTGCTTTTTAAATAAGTCCAGAATCCTGGCCTCAACCACCCTTACTGACAACTTGTTGCAGTCGTTAATTGCCTTTTGATTGAAGAAACACTTTTTAGTATGTGTCCTAAAATTGCCCTTTACATCTCCAAATATCCTCTTTCTTTACAGCAACAACTTGTATTTATATAGTACCATTCAGTGTCTCAGAATGCTTAAGTCTTCTACTGGCCTGATGCACTCATTATTGATCTGGATAAACTTTAATACACTTCTATGAAGTCCCTTCTGATTCCATTCTATCAAGATAGAAAAGCCTTAGATTCTCATTGATTGTAATGGTACAGTCGATGTACGTTGATTTACTGACCTGGGTTGTTGCAATTTGCAAACACTGAGGTTCATGCCAGATCCATTTTATGAGCTGACTGTTTGACAAGCCAATCAACTCGCATATGTGATCACAATAAGTTGTCATTCATTCATCATAATATCCGTGCACGGCTGTATATTGTTGCACATGGGAAATGCTCCCATTTGGGATATCATATCTCAATGTTCAAAAAATTATTTGCAACAAACCAGAGTTGCAAAATAATGGCTGAGTAATGCAGTCTGAGTACACCAGAACACAGGAAATAGGAGGGTCAGAGGTCAGCTGTTGATGTCAATGTCCCACTTGGCAATAACCTTATCATTGTATAACCAATAGCTGACTTACTCGTAACTTGATTCTCTGCAGTTGATTATTACAGGTAACAATATCTTACTAATCACTTTTATCAGCTTAAAAGGATTTCACACTAAATTTAAACAATTTCAACTTGTTGGGGGTAAGGGGGTGCACTTGCTCCTAAACTTGTGCTGATAATGTTTCACAACGAAATGCTTATCCCATTTCTTAGAGCTGTTGTGTGGCATGTGCTACATCCTCTTATACATACAGTAGGAATTAGCTGAACTCTACTCACTGCATCATTTAGAAGAGATGGGAAGCTGTGTGCGTGTGTGTGTGTGTGCACGTATTTGTGTGTGCGCAGTACAGGTGTGTGTGCATGAGTGTGGGTATGAAAAGGCCGAGGGAAGGTATTGCAAAGAGCAAAGTGCCAGGGATCTTACTAGTGAAATAGCCTCCTAATTTTCAAGTCTATATTCTACTGAGCATTAAAAATAGCAAGCTTCTATCCCAAAGGTACAGTGAAAAGTCTGCAACGTGCACTGTAATCAGAAGAGACTTTTGTTGCAATCATGCAATGAGAGCTATATGTACATGTACTTTACAACCTGAAAGTGACTTTCAGTACTCAAACAAAGAGAAAGCAGCAGCTGTGAGTTTTCTTGTTGATCTAAGGTTTGTGAAGCTTGGGTACATGGTTTAAAATGACCTATTTGTAAAACTTTAACTGACAGAAGTGGCTTGTGGTTTTCCGTTCTGTACTTTGTACTGGAGGATGGTGTCAGTGATGCACAGAGTTGATGGCAGACATAGTAATGCGACGATGAAAATAAATTATTTTCAAAAGGATTGTGAGCAGTAAAGTGTAATGGCCCACACTCCTTTCTGTATTGTATTTTGCTTTGAGTATCACAGACAAGAAATTTCCCATGCCACTAAGTATAGCAACTTTGATAGCGTGTTTTTACATTTATATTTAATTTGTAAATCAAACTTGTTGTCAGATCTGAAATGATATCTTCTCAGCAACCCAGTGAGTTTGATCACAGGAAGCAAATTGTGACTTTTGTTTAAAAGTTAAAGTTTTGTTGCAGTATTCTCCTATTACCACTTTGTAGGAAAGACAAACAGAAGCCAAAACAAAGAGCCGGGAAAAAAAAATCTGTGTCCTAAGGCTCTGATGAAGAGTATTCGACAGTATATTTTAACCCTGAACATGAACGATGACCTTGAATTTGTTTGGTGTGCTTCTTATCCTTTTATTGTGATTTGGACAGTAAACACATATGTTTAACCGTGCCAGGTTTGAACTCCAGTTTGTGCTACGTTAGCTGTTCACAACGCCAGCTATGGGTCATTGCAATTAACCTGAGCAACTAGCCTGCGATAGGCAGGGGTAATACTAGCCATGGTACCTGCTCCTGATCACCATCTAGTGACCCTTGCTAGAATGTGCAGTTGTGTGGCTGTCAGATGAGAACAGCATAGGGCTCAGCAGTGATCAAATGTCAAATAATCTGCCAACATTTGCAGTCAAATCTCTTGTATTAACAGTGCCACATGAGTGAGATGTCGAAGATCCCATTATAAATAGTTGATTGAAAGGTGACCGTGTTAGCAATCATGTGGTGATATACACCAATACTTTCAGGGGGAGACGTAAGGGTAAAAAAAGGGGAAGAGGCCGTTCTGCATCTTACTTCCCCAAATTTTAATGGGTTTTCAGGCTCGTTGTTGACTCCAGAATGGTAGCATAGAGTGTGAAATATGGTGCCATCACGCAGTCATGTAAACTCCTTTCATTTACAGAGTTTGTTAACAAAGCCAACCACATCAACATATTTGAGCTATAGACTAGCTGGAACTTCCTGGACGGCATCTGATATTTATAACTTCCTTGTTAAATATCCAGAGGATGCTCAATATTCAAATGGTTCGGCCTACACCTGGAGGGAAGCTTACAACGAGACAGATCAAGCGATTCAATCATTATCACGTGCTATGGAGGTCAGTCAGAGCTGTGGTCCAGAACTGTGTTCCTAGAACTGTGTTCCCAGAATAGTGGTCTTTCTTCCAACAAGCTCAATTCGTCAGATTTAATTGTGCATTGTTACAGTGGCTATAACGTCATAACCTTTTCAAAAGATTCACAGAACAATAATTACTGTTGAGTGTAATGATTATCTTTTGTAGGTACAGTGTAGTGCCTACAAAATACAAGATTGTGATAACAAAGGCGGGCTATTTGTTTGACATTGATAAGACTCATTTTGAACCTAAAGCAATATTGAGTGAGCGTTTTGTTTTCTCGTTGAAGTGCATAAATTGGGATAAGTTGGAGGCTGTGTCCACCGAAGAAAAGCTCATTAATAAATCCATGGAGCTGCTGGACGAAAGGAAATTCTGGGCTGGAATTGTCTTCATGGATGTTGATTCCAATGGGACAGAGCCATCAGAGCATGTCAAGTACAAGATTCGGATGGATATAGACAACGTGGAGAGAACAAACAAGATAATGGATGGGTAATGTTCAGATCATTGCAAGTGGCCGTCATTAAAAGCTGCAATGTTTTATCTCTAGAAGAAACTTATTGACAAGCGTGTGCACTTTTTAAAATTTGAGGCTTGTTGCTGGTGTCTTCAAAGTGAGCATGGTTACAGTATGTCCTTTTCTTCAAGGTACTGGGACCCTGGTCCTCGGGCCGATCCATTTGAAGACCTGCGCTATATATGGGGAGGTTTTGCCTATTTGCAAGATATTGTAGAACATGCAATTATTCGCACTGTGACGGGCAGCAGGAAGAATACAGGAGTGTATGTTCAGCAGATGCCATACCCTTGCTACGTAGATGATTTGTAAGTAACAAGAAAACCTCTGGGCTTTGAACGGGCAATTTTTTTTAAACAAAAGATGTCCTTAAACCGGCTACTGTGTTCCAGACAAAGAGTTGTTCTTTTTCCTCCCCTGATGTTGCTCTTCGACTGGTCTTAGCACACATATGAGTGAGGCCTAAGCCCACTCACTGACTGAATCATTTGCTATTCTCATTCGAGAAGTGAGAGACCTTTATTCTTCACTCCCACAAGATGGTTAAGTTTGGGACTTGACTGTGTGTAGAATCATGCGTAGAGGTCAAGTGGCATCTTTCAAACGAGATATTGAATTAAAGGCCCTATCAGATGGATGTTACAAGATTCCATAGCACTGTTTGATAAGAGAAAGGAGTTTCTCCTGGTGTCCTGGCCAACAGTCCTCCAAATCAATTGGTCATTCACCTCCTGGCTGTATGTGGGCAGCTTCAACCCATAAGCTTCTGGCCCGGAAGGAAGAGTGGTACCAGCTGAGCCAAAATATACTCACTCACTTGAGGTTTGGTGGACTTGATTTCAAAAAAAAAATTTCTGCCTTGTGCCCACAGATTTCTTCGCGTCCTGAGCCAGTCTCTGCCTCTGTTTACAACTTTAGCCTGGATATACTCTGTTGCCGTGATAATCAAAGGGGTAGTATATGAGAAGGAAGCACGGCTGAAGGAGACCATGCGAATCATGGGACTGAACAGTGGCACCCTGTGGCTTGGCTGGTTTATTAGCAGCTTAATCCCTCTCTTGATCAGTGCTGCCTTGCTGGTGATAATTCTAAAGGTAAATATCTTCTATCTGTTTGTCCGCTTAAAAAGTTGAGGAATTTTATTGTGAGCAGCCATGAGCTTTCATAGCAATTCACTAAATTTCCTATTGTTAGTTCCCATTGCCAAGGTTGGTAAATGTACGGACGAAACAGACAACAGTTGCACGTAACTCCTTTCATCTTGCAAACGTTGAATTCATTCCCTTTGTCACTCACATCAATGTCACTTTCAGTCCAGATGACAAACTGTCCTGTAAAATAATTTTCAGTCTATAGAATAGTTTTGGCTGTAATGCACAAATTTTGTTTATTTGGACTCTACTGCAATTTGAGTGAGTATGAAAAATAATTGTTCATGAACCTAGTTTTTGCAATGTCCTCAGAATAACTTTGAATGTCGTGTTGGATTTTGCTCTCTGAGCTTTATTTTGATGTAACAAAAAGTTCTTCCCCCTTCTTTATCATCACAGGAAGGAAATATCTTGCCCTACAGTAACCCTCTGGCCATCTTCACTTTCTTGGCCACGTTTGGCATGGTGACCATCTTGCAGTGCTTTCTGATCAGCACTTTGTTCTCAAAAGCCAACTTGGCAGCGGCCTGTGGAGGAATTATCTACTTCACTCTCTATCTTCCTTACGTGTTGTGTATGGCCTGGCAGGAGTACATCACCTATCCAGTCAAAATCTTTGCTGTAAGTATGTTAGCAGCCAGAATGTACTTAATGAGATGAAAAGTGTCAGTGTTGGAAAAATGTTTCCACTTTTGGCACTCGGTGACAATGTCATATCACAGATGATTGCAGATGAGACTTCCAATAATCCCCTCCCTAATGGTTTAGGTGATTCGGGCTGGCTCAGTTGGTAGCACTCTCGCTTCAGAGACAGAAAGTTGTAGGTTCAAAACCCCATGTTATGACTTGGAACTCATATAGTCTAAACTGATGCTCCATTGATGCATTGTTCGACGTGCCGGCCTTTCGATGAGATGTTAAACTATGGTCCTGTCTGCCTTTTCAGATGGATGTTAAAGATCCCATGGCACTATGTCCTGGCCAACAGTCCCCCAGATAAAATTGTTCATTCACCTTATTGGCTGATATTGCTGTGCAGAAATTGGCTGGCACGTTCACCTACAAAACACACAGTCATTCTGCAATATATCCTGTGAAGCGCTTTGCGACGTCCTCTTGATGTGAAAAGTGCTATACCAAATGCAAGGATTATCGTATTATGGAGGGTCTTGGCTTTCGATTTTGTTACCTCTAAGGTTTACCGTCTTGTTGCTTTCACAGAGCCTGCTGTCTCCAGTTGCCTTCGGCTTTGGCTTTGACTACTTTTCACTGTACGAGGAACAAGGGGTTGGAGTCCAGTGGCACAACTTGTTCTCTAGCCCAGCGAAAGGCGACGAGTACAACATCACCACCTCCATCGTCCTCATGGTTTTCGATGCCGTCCTCTATGGAATTCTAACCTGGTACATTGAAGCAGTCTTCCCAGGTACAGAAACAATTGCATATATTAGCAGTGATGCAACAATTCACATTTATAAAACACCTTTCACATCAGGAGGGCATCTCAAATCACTTCACAGAGGCAAGCTTGGGGTAGGGGAGCTGAGAAAAGGGGAGACTAGGTGATCAAAACATCAGTCGAAAACAAAAATCTTCAGGGGTTAAAAGTCAAGTTAAATGATGTTGAGTTTTTTTTGCTTCCTTATCTATTGATTAGAGAAACATGTTTCTGTTTCAGTCAGTTTAACAAAACTGTTGCACAAGACTTGTCAATTTGTGCACAGCAATATCATAACAGCCAATGGAGTATAGCCCTGTAACATATTGGCTTTCTTCACAAGTGAGAGGTCCTCGGTTTGATTCCGGGGCAGGGACACAAGTTACACAAGTTTCCTTACTCCATGTGCCTCTATTTACCCAGCAGTAAACAGGAACTTGATTGTTAGTCGATTGTTGGATTGCTTCTCCAGTGGTAATAAATACTTCAAAAATGAATAAAAATACTAATTTGTTCATTCAATCCATGATGGTTTGTGTGACACTGCTATGTGCAATTCGCTGTCGTGTTTCACCCACAAAATCTACAGTCAATTTACTTCACAGTATAAGTGCTGTGGGATGCTACCCTGCATGAGGAACGCTATATAAATGTAAATTGTTGTTATGATATCCTGTGAAGCGCTTTGATACGTCTCGAAGACGTGATAAGACGTAATATCAAATGCAAGGATTATTATTAATATTTTTTTGTCAGCAAGCCTAATGTTGGTGTTGTACAGCATTAATAAATAATGCTTGCATTTGCTACAGATTCTTATCTCTTTGAAACATCACAGAATTTTTTTTGTAAAGTGAAATGTCTGTATTTGTAGGTGAATGCAGCAGCCAATTTCCATACATCAATGTTACACAAACAGCCCTGAAGTGATTGAGCATTTATCTGGGGCATGTTGATCAGGACATCGGGAGAAATTGCTTTCTCTTTTTGAATAGTGCCGCTGGATCTTAAACATCCACTTAAATATGTAGACCGAACCACAATTTATCGTCATATCCCAAGAGCCTGCAACAATGAAATCTTCTTCTAACGGGGTTATAATGCTGCCTATAAATACACTCTGCGTGGTTTATAATTGTGAAAGTTAATTCTGTGGTGGTCATACTCTGTGAGAATCTTTATAAACAGAAATAGGCTGATTTGAATTTCCTAGTCTAGAGAAATCACTGAAAGGGACCCTTTGTCTTGGAAAAAGCCATGTTAATTGCTATCCTTTAAATAATTGTTGTCATTTAAATGATTGCTGTCAGACATATCACTTCAACAAAGTAAGTTGCATTGTTTCAGTAATACTTCAAATCCATCACAAAATACACCTCAAAGTAAAAATGCTCTGCAGCGCTTTGAGTTGTTCGGATGACGTGATAAGGCACCTTATCAAATGCAAGGGTTATGGTATTATTATAAATTGTGTTTGTTACGCCAGCATTATTGTAACTGACTAGTCTTTATTTTTTTTATCAATGTCCAGGTCAATTTGGCATTCCTAGACCATGGTATTTTCCTGTCACAAAATCCTACTGGTGTGGAGAGACAGTTAAAAATATGAAACAGCTGCAATGCAAGCAAAATGGGACGTCGCAGAGTAAGTGATGAAGAGCATCTTAGAAATGAAAGTTAGTTGAGTCCGGGTCCTGCAGTTCTGTTAGATTATGTTAGGTTAGTGAACACTTTCATGCATCATTTGTAGCATTTCAGAATCAGCAACTACAGCGAACAACATGGTAATCAAGAAAACGTTGGCACAAGTTGGTTGGTTCTGAGTGTTGCCATGAGATTGAGACACATTTTGCATGGCAACATCTTTTTCAAAAAGTCAACTCTCATTTTCTTGAGAGTTTATCCTAAAATATAATACATGCAATAAATGACTTTGAGTGTGGATACAATTACAATATTGTTTAATTCAGTACTCTTCATCCTTTGAGTGGTTTTTTATTGTTTTTTTTCCAGTAGCAGCTACAGTGAACACTTCCTAAAGGAACAAATCCTTGTTTTTATCTTTTTATCCTTTCCTATGTGTTCCCTCCATGTAAGGGTTGTGAACGTGACATTTGAAAGTTGCAATCCCAGGTGGCATTTTGCTTTTGGGCCATTTCCCAGCTGAGAAAAGACAGGGAAAAGTTTAACACAAGGTCAGAAAGCAAAAATTGTGATGCTTTTTAGTGAGTCCCGCAATCCTAGCTATAACCCAGCACAATGAATTCCAGCTTCTAAACTCCACATTGAAACTAAATGATGTTGTTTGGAACTTTGAAAACTGATGAGAAGTCACAGTCAGAACCGTTAGTGACATTTTTTTATACGGATGGTGGTATCTGTTGCTCAGAGGTTGTTCATGATGAAAAATGTGGTTTGGGGGTTACGGTACGTCAAGGGAATTATTCCTGGAATGGTTACTGTATGATATTTTCCATTGCTGTGTTTCCAGTCTATATGGAAGAGGAGCCCACTCACCTTAAGCTTGGTGTATCCATTCAAAACCTGGTCAAAGTTTATCGTGATGGCAAAAAGTTAGCAGTGGACGGGCTGACCCTTGGCTTCTACGAAGGACAGATTACATCTTTCCTGGGACACAACGGTGCTGGCAAAACAACCACTATGTAAGCAAACAGCTGCCTGCACTGGTAGTTGAATCAGGCAGTATAGATATATTAAAGAGGTAGCTACACATTCACATGATATAGAGGCAATTAGAAGGGTGTAGGAAGGAATAAAGAGGGGGTGGAGAGTCATGTGGAGTGTAAACATCGGCACAGACTGCTTAGGGAAAGTGGCCTGATTATATAAAACACAAAATACTGCAGATGCTGGAAATCTGAAAACAAAAACAGAAGTCGCTGAGAACACTCAGCAGGTCAGGGAACATCCATGGAGAAAGGAAAGTCAGTCAACGATTTGGGTCCCAGACACTTCGTTAAAACTGGGACATGTTGGGAGGGAGAAGCTTTTAAGGCTAACAGAGAGGGGGGAGGCAGGGCAAGGAAGACCAAGGATAAAATGGGGAGAGGACAGGGGATGATGGGTTAAAGAGGTGTTGATGATGCAAACCAAAGAGGTGGGGGGGTTGCAACAAAGCAGGGGAATAGAGGTGTTAATACTGAAGAACAAAACTGAGATGGAAAAAGAACTTGCAACAAAACAGGCAGATCAGGGAGAGAAAAGGTGTGTCTAGAACCCAGATGATGTGGTAATCGTCACAGAAGAGGGGGAGGGGGGAGGTGAGCTGTTATGGTCTGAAATTGTTGAAATCAATATTGAGGCCAGAGGGCTGTAAGGTCCCTGGCAGATAAATGAAAGGCTGTCCCTTGAGCTTGTGCTGTGGTTCATTGGAACAGCGTAGGAGACCGTGGATGGAGAGATCAGAGTGCGAGTGGGAGGGAGAGTTGAAATGGCAAGAAACCAGAAGCTCAGGGTTGTGCTTGCGGACAGAATGGAGGTGTTCGACAAATCAGTCACCCAATCTGTGTTTCATCTCCCCAATGTAGAGGAGACCACATTGTGAGCAGTGAATGCAGTAAATTACATTGGTCTCACTTGTAATCTGTGTTTGAGAACCTGGACAGTGGTATGGGAGGAGGTGAAAGGACAGGTATTGCATCTCCTGCGCTGGCATGGGAAGGTGCCGGGGGGATGAGAACAACTGTTGGCGGTGATGGAAGAATGAACCAGGGAGTCACAGAGGGAAAGGTCCCTTTGGAATGCTGAGAGGGGAGGGGAAAGATAAGTCTTGTGACCCAACCACTAAACAAGCTCGAGGAGCAGCACCTCATTTATCTGCCAGGGACCTTATAGCTCTCTGGTGTCAATATTGATTTCAACAATTTCAGTCTATAACAGCTCACCTTTCCCCTCCCCCTCTTTTGTGACCATTACCGCATCATCTTGGTCCCAGACACACCTTTTCTCTGATCTGCCTGTTTTGTTGCAAGTTCTTTCCCCCTCCCCCATTTTGTTCTGCATATTAACACCTCTGTTCCCCTCCTTTTTTGCAACCCTCCCTTTCTTCATTCTCTGTTAGCCCTTAAAAGCCTCTCCCTCCCAACATGCCCCAGTTTTAACAAAGGGTCGTGGACCCAAAATGTTGACTCAATTTCAATTCTCCATAGATGCTGCCTGACCTGCTGAGTGTTCCCAGCGACTTCTGTTATTGTTTTGCCCTGATTACATGCTGTCCATTCTTTGTAAATCTTTGTAAATCTTGGTTGACAGGTTTCATTGAAATCTGATCCAGATGTTCTGGAATAAGTGCCTTCTCTTTAATGGTTGTCCCTTGGAACCTCCTCTAAGTAACATTTTTGAGAAGCAAAAGTTGAAAATTATTCTACTGAATATTATTAATTTAAGGGCCAATATTTTCTTAACTGTCTGGAGCCAAAAATGTACCTTTAACTTCAAGCTCTGGCGTGTATGAAGGTCAATCAGTGTGGACGGAGGAGATAGAAATCACTGTGTGTAAGACACGAAGTGTAAATCACTGTATGTACAAATAGCTTGGAAATCTTTGTATCATCTCTGCATATACCATTCAGGAAGATGGAAATCTGTGAATAAGTATGGGGGTTGGAAATCTGTTTGTCTAAGTAAATTGGATATCTCCGTGTGTCCCAACGGATTGGAAATCTCTGTGATGTCTGTGTGTACATTCAGGGAGGTGAAAATCACTGTGTGTGTATTTGAGGAGATGGAAATCACTGTCATATATATATATTAGAGGTCTCTTCATAGGAACACACACAAGTGTTTGATTACAATTAATTGTTTTTCAAATCTTTTTGCCTAAGCACTGACATTTAACACCTAACTTCCCATATTCTGCCGATTTTTCATGCAGGTCAATCCTGACAGGGTTATTCCCACCCACCGCTGGCACTGCCTACATTCTGGGTAAAGATATCCGTTCAGAACTCAACTCCATTCGCCGAAACCTGGGCATGTGCCCACAGCACAATGTCCTCTTTGATCTGTAAGTGAATTTACAGCTGATGGGCAACAGTCCCATAAAATGTCCTCGATCTTTTTTTTCATTTTATTGTCCTGTTGCTTGTTTTGCAGCATGTTTGTTGGCCAATTGTAGACTTTCCAAGATAGTCCTGTGGTGGTGCTTCTCATTAAGTAAATAAGCAAGAGCTAACGGCTTCAGTCATCGTCCCTCTTCAACTTCCCTCTTACCTTGTCGTCAATGCACCTGCTATGCAGTTTTTCTGTTTCTCAGAAGCAAAGTTGACTTCATTTGTTATCACAAGAACAACATTTAAGTAGAATCAGCATCCAGCAGTCTACATTTATTTCAAAATCAAGCCTCACACTCGCATTTCTCTCTGTCAATTCAGCCATGTTTCTTGTCTCCTGTACTCCACCATTGGTGGACGAGCTTTCAGCCACTTTGTCCTCTCTCTCTAGACCTCTCTTCCTAAATCTCTGCGACTTTCATCCTTTCTCTTGTGCTTTCAAATCCCATCTAATAACCTACCTCTTTAGTCACCTCTATCCTCTATCGCTTTCTCTCATCGTCAATCCTGTCCAGTTTCCCATTTCCTATCTTTAAAGAACCTTGAGACATTTTTCAACATATAAGGAGCTATTTAAATACTAGTTTTGTATATTTTAACAATTCTTTCTGGAAGAATTGGAGGGGACGGGGTGGGGGATAAGAAACAGTAGATTAAATTGAGCATTGTGGCCAACTTGCAATTTAATTTTAGTAATTTTATTCAAATGCTTTCACTGACTTTCTAAGGCTTACTGTGGAGGAGCATGTGTGGTTCTACGCAAGGTTAAAGGGACTGTCAGAGAAAGAGGTCAAGGCCGAAGTGGAACAGATGGTTGTGGATGTGGGGCTGCCAAACAAACGCAAAGAGACAACCCGTAAACTTTCAGGTGAGTTGTGCTTCTTTACTGAGAGGCCGAGGAGATTCGGAATGGTGGAGTCTGATTGATTTCATTAACAACAACAACAATATTACATTTATATATTCCTAAGGCGCTGGACAGTTAAAGGATTGTTTGCTACTCCAAGCTTCCGGTTGCCAACACAGTTCAACATGAAATGTGTGAGAGCATCGCCACTATCTTCCTACACTGACGTTAAGTTGCCTTTCACTAGAAAGCATCTTTCCCTTTTTTGTTTCTTTCCTTGTTTAAGAGGCCCACATTGCGCAAGTCAAGGGGAAAAGCAGGCAGGTAGTTTCAGTCCTCTGTTAATACCAGTGTTTAATAATTGTTCTGTGTTATTACACTCCTGCCTTCTCAATAGAAAGAAAGGTGTTTTTTGCCTTTTAATCACTGCTTTAAAGAATTTCGGATTGTGCAGAATTATCAAATTTAGTCTGAATGTTGAAGCCATTTATCCACAATGCTTTTTAAGTATTACAGAAAATCAGTTGCTGGATTTAAGAATTTGCCATGAGATTCTGCTCAATCGGAAATGTTAAGACAGTTGTCTTAAAATTGGATTAACGAGTTTATGGATTTTGCTAAGTGTTTCATCTTTGGATGCTCGAGAGATCAGTGGTGAAACTTGATCTCCCATCCTCACTATGTCTCTTTTTTGGAGGGGGTCAATCTGGTGTCTCACACATTCGAAAAACAATCACCATGCTTAAAAATATCTATGCATCCTACCTAGACATGGAAATTGCTAAGATATTTATTGGAATGAAATGTGCACTTTTTCACATCCTACTTACCTAAATCCGGAAAGTATTAGGTGCAGGTTGACAAGAGTCAAGACTTGGGGACCCCAATGCGTGCGATGGGGTACCCTTGGAGTCTGACCAGCTAAAACCACATAACTTGCCATTGATATCGTTGCTTGGCAAGCTTTCCTACTGCTTGTCAAGCTTGGTACACCCTACTTGTTAGGTCTTTGGCTTGCAGGGTGGACAGGAACTGAGTGGGAAGAGTCCCTGCCTCCTGGTCTGTCCTAAGTTCTGCTAATGTGCTGTCAGCAGAGATGTGCTGGAGAATTGCCAACCCTTCTGGCTCAGGATAAGTTATCATGACCACCACAGAGGGCTGGCTCAATTCTTGACATTCTGTCGCCAACCATGTTACCTTGGAACCAGTTCAGCTCCAAGTAGATCCTATTTATCTCGCCTCCTCCCCCCACCAAGGAGGATTGTCACTAGCTGATCATTTGACATCTGGTTTTGAGCTCTCACTAGGTGGATGGCAAGAACTCCCTGTGAGCTTCCTGTTGGTGAACATGGTGAACACAGCTCAGCATGAAATGTGTGAGAGGGTTGACACCTTCCTGCCCATTCTCCTGCCCACAGCTCGTGCATACATCTCTTCCTATTCAGCGATGGTTCCACCAGTTGGAGTTGTGGAGTTTAAGTAGCAACTATTTACCTCTCTGAAGCCAATCAAGGTGGATTCTAAGTGCTGGATTTTCGAACCCATGTTCATGAACTCAGACTCCAGGTAACGCCTTCCAGCATCTGTCGCTCCAAACCTCAAAGTTTCCTGATCACCTATTTGACAGAATTCTGCCTTGAGCGTGATGGGAGGACTTTACAGGACAGCTTGTGGCGTGTCAGCCAACTTGACGTTCTTGAGGTCCAAGTCTAATACCCGGTACCAGGCTTACTCAGCATGAGCTGCTCCCCATGTCGCTTTAAGTGCTCTCTTGCTCAAAAAGGGATTTGCGTGTGGATTCAACTGCAGTTGGCAATTTTATTGCGTGTGCGATTCATTGGAAATGAACTGCTAGCCATGGTACAACACTACTATTAGTTCCTGATGCGTGCACTGCTTCAGCTGCCTACAAGAAGGTTATTAAAGTTCAGTGGTTAGACTGAGCAGAACAACACTTCCTCTTTGTTATTCTATAAGTGCAAAAGCTTTTTTTTTGGCAGCTCTGTGTAAGAGCGTAACGATATCTGTCAGCTTTAGAAATTACAGCGCCCTTTCTTTTTTCCGCACACACAAAAAATGGTGTACCTTTTGCTTGCTTGCTGAGTAGAAAAATGTCAGCACTCAATGAACTCAATAGAATGAAATGCTTTCTCCTGTTTCAGGAGCCCAGTACCAGGTAGCACATGTTCAGGTGCAAAATAATTTCTGTATCCTGCTCTGTTCCTGTACATTAGTCTGAAAAGAGAACTTTCTGCTGCACCAGCGAGACATTACTCACACCAGCTGTTCTTGTGGCTTCTCTGAAGGAGCTTGGACTTAGTGTTGATGAATCGTATTTGTCCCTTGTCCACTATGGGACGTGGTTGAGACTGCACAAACCTTGTTGATGTAAAGCACTTCCAAACATTACCCTATATTTATTATAATTTTTTTATGAAAAGCACTACAAGCTATATATAATAGTAATAATCCTTGCATTTGATATTGTGCTTTTCACATCTTCTAGACCTCTTAAAAAGCTTCACAGAATATACTGTAAAGTGAATTGACTGTATTTTTGTGGGCAAAACGCAGCAGCTAATTGCACACAGCAGTGTCCCAAAAACAGTTGTGGATTAAAGTGACCAATTTGTTGTTTTTTTCTTCTTAAGGAATTATTATACCTTTGTTCAATGCTGCAATACGCTACCCTACGTGAAGGGTATTATATGAACGCAAATTGTCTTTGTTGTTGTTCTTATGAACTTATAGCCAGGAGAGAGGGGAGACTTTCAATCTTGAACTTAATTCTAACCCACGACCCAAAGGTGAAAACACAATGTGCAATGCACAGTGCTATCCACCACTGCAACACATTGGAGTCTAATACTTGGTAATTCATAACAAGAGTTCCAAATAACAGCATCTGCCAGTGATCTGAAGGGCATCAAGCCACTTGTGGAATCTCCAGTGACCAGAAATAGATCATGTTCACATGAGTCAAAGTGACAGACTCCCAATCCCAATTAGGAGGCGACTCATTCATTATCATCACCTCCTGTTCTGAGTCGCTGCATATCAGACAAATCCATTGTAATTCTTTGCTGCGGGATGGGAGGTTGTAGTGATTGTGTTAATTGCCTAACTCGTGTGCTTTGTTTTTTATTTAAGTCTGATGTGGATTTTATGATGTGTTTTAAAAGGTGGAATGCAACGCAAGCTCTCAGTGGCTCTCGCCTTCGTTGGTGGGTCAAAAGTTATCATCTTAGACGAACCTACTGCCGGGGTCGACCCTTACTCCCGCCGAGGAATATGGGATCTGCTTCTGAAGTATCGAGAAGGTAAGATCAGATCACAGAGGTATTAAATACTGTTGAGTTCCAGCTGCTGAGTTTGAATCAACAGCAACAAATTGCATTTGTATAGCCTTTTACGTTGGGAGGACATCCCGAGGCACTGGACAGTCAAAGATGTGGACTGAGCTGGGGTTGGGATCAGGAAGCATTGAGGGCAGGGAGGTGGGGGTAGGAGGGTGACCGAAGGTACGGTCGAAGAGGAAGGTCTTGAGATGTCCTTGAAGGAGGTAAGGGAAGCGGCAAGGTGAAGAGAGTGTGGGATGGAGTTCCAAAAGGTGAGGGCAGAAAGGATGAGGGCCTGACCGCCGATGGTGGGGTGGGCAGTGTGGGAGTCATGGAGCAGACCAGAGTCTGCCGATTGGAGGGAGAGGACAGGATGGTACTGGAATCAAGAAACTTTGGACTGAAAATTCCCCATCTTAGCCTGTTGTATCCTAAGGCCTTAACATTTTTAGACAATGCAGAATTTTGGAAAATTCTTGAATTTAATCTTAATTTGCAATTTTTTTTCTGTCGTGTTTAAATTAGGAACACTTTAGAAATTTCTACATTCAGCGCCATCTTAATATTTTTAGACACAATGGTCCTACAGGCTAAGACTTGGTGAAATTTCGAGGTATTCATTCTACCACTTGGCCCTCCCAAGATTGGTTTGGATGGAGAAAGCTGTTGGCCTATGCATTGTCATCCTTCCATAATATTCACCCAACTGACTTCCCATCAAAGCATCAAGCTGTTTTTTTAAATTATGCATAGTGTTCTGGCCTCAACCACACCTTCTTGGCAATAACCTGTTTGAGTCATTAATTACAATCTGGGTAAAGAAATACTTCTTTGTGTCCGTCTTGAAATTAATTGTTGCAATTCTAAACCTGTGGCTTCTTGTACTATTGCCCTCACACGTCCTAAAGCATTGATCTGGGTTTACTTTTTCAATCCCATTTAGAATGTCATACGCCTCTATTCAGTTCCCTCTGAGACATTGTTTTTTAAGACTGAAGAGCCCTTGTGTGACTAATTGTTGCTCATAGCTCATTCCTCTTAACACTGGGGTCCTCATTGATATCCTCAGCACTGCCTTTTGGGTCTGGGCAGCCCTTAACATCAAAGTGACTGGAACAATATGCAGGATTCTAGGTGAGACCTGACCAGAGATCTATTTAGCTTGAATATGACTTCTGGGACTCTGACTTCGACTGAATTGGTAATTTAGCTCAGCATCCTGTTTGCCTTTATTTTCCTCAGCATCTTGTTTATTGGTGCCTCACACTGTTGACATGGTGAACTACCAATTTGCAGAAGAGGAAATGGTTTAATGTACATTCATCATGTTATTATTATGAGCGCTTATAATTCTCCAGATCTAGTGAAGAAGGCATGTCAGATCCCCAATGGGATCAAGCCATTTCTGTTTATATATATCTCATGCAAGAAAAGTGGGTTCAGGTGGTGTCCTGTCAAGATGGAGTATCAAATTGGGGCAGCATGCCATACCTGAGTCCTCCCCGCACACTGATCTATCTGATCACATTCTGTTGCTGTGTTTGATTTTGATAATGTTGCCGAATTATCTAAACTTTAAGCATCATGTACTTGTAAGACTGACACGGTTCAGTTTAAGTAAACAGTTTATACTGTTAATGACAGTTGATTCAACTATCAGCAAAGTTAATGCCATGCTTGGGTGAGAGATAGATATCAAGCAAGAATTATGACTCTAGTGAGCCCTTAATGCACATTGGCAAAGTCGAAGTAACAATGAATCCTGTTTCTCCCACTTGGATTCTCTGAACATTACTGGTCTCTCACCAAAACGTCTGCTAGAAACTTGTTTGAGCCCAGTGGAAAGTTGCTTGATGCTGTACATATCAGTAGGTTATTTAAAGAAACCTCTTGAAACAGTCTTGAAACCCCCCCTGGGCTATGTGGAGAATTAGAAACTGGTAGAAACTTAATAAAAAAAATACGAAGTATGTGAAGACACAAGCATGGACTCCAAGCATAGAATCAGAAGCAAGAAGTGTAATATACATAATATATAATATGTAGGGATAGGTTGGGGAGGTTAAGGAAATGGGAGCCATGGATGAGAAGACATTGATGGGAGTCAAAGAAGAAGCCAAGGCTTTCTTCCACTGTGGAATGTTAAACAAGAGAATGGGAGCAATCCTCTCCAGATTAGATGGACATGTTTAGCTCCATGGATAGGTGGAGTGCTCAAATGGCAAACCAGCGTAAACATCTTCTAATTTAACAGTTTACGTGTCCTCATGTTCTGTCTTGGTGCATCCTAAAGTATTGTTCTTATTCACATTTTTAAATAGAGGATAGAGGCCATAGTGGAATTCGGGACATGAAGGAAATGGGCTTTGACTGAATGGCTTTTTCTCATTCCACTGTTTCTTATGACTACATCAGATTGAAATACATGTCCCATTTTCCTTAGAAGAAAGAAAATTTGTGGTCATTGGCGGTGAATGCAATAGACTGTTGACTCATGTACTTAGCAATAAACATAAAGGCTCAATAGACTGCCTGGCAATGGTTACTAGTGAAAGGACAGAATATTCTCAGGGCCAACTTCATGGATTGAAGTTGCTATGTTGCAACTTATATTCTGTATTCTGAACCCCCAGAAATGTTTTGGCATTTTTAAAAAAATATATATTGCAGAAGATTTTAAAATATTTCAGAACAATAGCTGATATGGAGCTTCCACCATCACGTTTCAAAGGCATTTGGACAAACATTTGAAAAGGGAAACTGTTAGGTGGGTGTGGGTGAAAAGCAGAGGAATGGGTGTAATAGATAGCTCTTGCAGAGAGCCTCCTAGGCACAGTGAGCCAAATACTCTTTGTCCATATTTCAAAAATTCAAGAACAAAGCCAAGCTCTCGCTGCTTCTCTCTCTACTGGAATATCGAGGTATAAGACAACAATTTTGACTCTACAGCTCTGAATATCCTATTTCGCTCTGTCTGAATGACTGTTTGCTGCAAGAATCAAAATCCCATTTGGGTCTGATTCGCATTATTTCTTAACATGATTCCACAATGACAGTATTAATTAGAATTCCCAACAACTCACGGGACCTCCGCTATGGGAGGAGTTTGTGTCTAATTGGAGGGGTGGGGGGTGACGTTTTGGAAGGAGGGAATTGGGATTAGAATGATTTTTTGGAAGAGGATTTGCCAACCTGAAACAATGGGTCAAACAGCCTTCTACATTGTTGTAGTTCCTATAGTACAATGTTGTTAAGAAATCCAGCAATTTTTCCCCTTTGTTAAAAATTGTCTGGTAGATTTCCTTGTCATGTGAATTTCAAGATATTGTTTGCTACTGAAACTTTCAACAGATCAAGATGTTCTTACTGTGATGACATCAGCATTCATTCAAGGGCACTTTTATTCAGACTTCAGAGTTATTTGCAGACAGTGTCTGCCATGATGCACACTGACACCAGTGTGATGTGTGCCGTTGAAGTGCAGGGAGGGTGAGCGAAGGCGTGGTTAAAGTCTTTTTCCTATCACATTTACAAGACATCTCAAAGCGCTTCACAGAATATACTGTAAAATGTACTGATTATGTACTTTGTGGGCAAATTCTGAATGATTACCCTTGGTTTATTTCTAGGAAATTGTGTGATCAATACACAAGTATGATGGATATTCCTAAACACATTGCATTCCTTATTGAAGAAACATCATTAAAATGTGGCTTGAAATATAGATTCCCTCCAGTGATGTCTGAATAACTGCAGTGCCCAAACCTGGCAGAAAGGTGCTGGCCACCACCTTCTTAGATTTCTGTTTAGCAAGGATAATTTTTGCGTGATGAAAATATCCTTTCCGAGCAACATTCAGTGACTTACTAAGTGGGCAGTGCCTGGTTAATGAGCTCAGAGAGAGGTTGGTTTCTGTAATCACAAATGGCAATGGAGGATTCATTGACCACTTTAGGACTTCAAGCTGACTTCAAGGATATAAAGAATAGTTATGCAGTATTGGAGGAAATCTCTCAAAAGTTTGGAATAATTAATTTTTTTCCAGGTCGGACTATCATCCTTTCTACTCATCATATGGACGAAGCAGATATCCTGGGAGACCGAATTGCCATTATATCCAATGGCAAGCTCTGCTGTTGCGGATCATCCTTGTTTCTAAAGAACCAGCTGGGAACAGGCTACTATCTGACCCTGGTCAAAAAGGATGTGGAACCATCCCTTAGTTCCTGCAGAAACAGCAGCAGTACTGTGTCCTGCCTGAAAAAGGTATAATAATCCTTAATAATGTTGAGATATCTTAATGCGCTTACAGAATTTTACTAAGTGTACTGACAATTTGCAGGCAAATGCAACAGACAATTTTCGCAGAGTAGTGTCTCACAAACAGCCATAGAGTGAATGACCAATTTTTTATTCAGGGGATCGTTGGCCACGACTCTGGGAGAAACTTCCTTCTCTTTTCGAATAGTGCCATGGGATCTTTAACGTCCATCTGAACTGGCAACAGGACCTTGGTTTAACAACTCATCTGAAGGACAGCACCTCTGACAATGCAACACACTCCTAGCACTGCATTGCATTATCAGTTTAGACGATGTGAGTTCAAAGTCCTGATCTCTGTCTTGAACTCACAACCTTCTGATTCAGAGGCCAGAGTGCTATCAACTGAGCCAGGCTGACATCTGATACTTAGCTGGGTTTTGATTTTTGAGCTGATGGTTAAGACTTGCATGCCAGGAGATTTGCTTCTTGCTTTGAGTTAACCTTTAACATAATACTCAGATGTGCCCTTTCTGTTGACATTCTTTGTAGGAGGACAGTGTTTCCCAGAGCAGTTCTGATGCTGGGCTTGGGAGCGACCAGGAGAGTGACACTATGACAATTGGTGAGCAAAATGGGACAAAAAAAAAATCAACAACCCGGCGAACTGGACTTGTACAGAAAAAATGGCTTATTTGGAAGAACGTCTTGGTGGCACCGTGTGAGCGATCTTCCCATTAAAAGCTCGCACTGCTTATTTCTGTAAATTTATTTATCAGCGTAGAGACAGCCTCAAATCAACCTGATTATGTGCCCTTTACAGCTATTATAGATAGTGATCAGGCATATATGGTCTGGTTACTGAACTTGCCAAAACCTATTTGACTTGTGAATCTAAAGCAAGGATGTGACCTTTTGAAGCCAGTCCTTTGATGGATTAAAATTTTGATACCCCGAATATACATGGATGTTATCCACAATATGTTACTATTCCGCCATGAAGCCGACTAACCCTCTCCCCTCTTCTCTTATCCTACAATTTCCAGATGTTTCAGCCATTTCTAACCTCATCCTGAAGCACGTCCCGAAGACTCGCTTAGTGGAAGATTTTGGCCATGAGCTGACATATGTTTTACCTTATGAGGCTGCTAAAGACGGAGCTTTTGTGGAACTTTTCCATGAAATAGATGACAGGCTCTCCGATCTCGGGATTTCCAGTTATGGCATCTCTGACACAACGCTGGAAGAAGTAAGCGCTTCAAATTCACCTTCTATCATTTGTTTGACATCAATAATCCACAAAGACCTGTGTGAGCGCAATACTTAGTAATATTTCACCATGTTTAGTGGGTGTAGTTAAAGCGGATTTGGAAGTCGGTGAGAAATTTCAATTCTACCATATGTTGTAAATGGAAAGTGCATTCAAAGTACAAACATTTCTGAACATACGTCACAGAACAGACTAATCCACTGAGGAATATGGTGTACCATTAGACCTCTGTTCTGAATCGATTTACGTTAATTCATTTTAACACAGTATAAACCAAATACAACAACAACAACAAATTCCATTTGTATAGCGCTTTTCACGTAAGGAGAATGTCCCAAGGCGTTGAAATAATTTCAGGAAAGCAACAAGACATTGCATCAAATTACAAAACAACGACCTGTGCGACATTTAATAAAAGACCCATAGGCTACGATTTGTATTCACAAAAGTGGTTTATGCTCTGACAATGACCTCTGTTGAAAAAGATTCCTACTGGGTCTAAGTTGCGATACTGTATTGCCTCGAATACGATAGTCACAAAGTGGATGCTAATTGTCCTCCCGACGTGAAAGGCACTATACAACTGTAATCGTGTTGTTGTTGTAATTACAATCCTAATTTGACGATTGCTAAGAAAAGTCAGACAAAAGAGAGAAAGGAAAACGCAGGTTTTTTGGGGCTTTGCTGGCTTTTAGGGATTCAATTTTTTTAAATCTGGATTCTCTGGATCCGTGGATTGGCAGCTTTGAACTAACCATATTATGCTTAATCCTGCAATAATGATTTGGGAATATTATCTGTGGAGGGAGGGAGACCAGCGTATATCAGTTTTGTTTTATAAAGACAGTCAGTAGCTGTGCAGTTACAAGTACGTATTACAAGTATGTAACTGCACTCTTGTCCGCTCCGCTCAACCATCGATGGCCGTGCTTTCAGCCACTATTCCTGAATCTCTGGAACTCCCTCCCTCCCTCAATCCCTCCACCTTACCCGCTCCTTCCCCACTTTCAAATCACGCCTGAAGATCTTCCTTTTTGATTGTGCTTGCGGTCACCTCCCTCTTCCCTCTCTCCCTGACTTGGGGTCAGACTCCACCACCATCAAGAATTCCTGGCAGGATCATCACTTCAAATGCTTGAGGTAACGTCAGCTCAATCCCAGGTCTTTATTCCTTTTGATTTTACCCACAGATATTCCTCAAGGTTGCTGAAGATAACGGAGTGGATGCTGAAACCTCAGGTAATCTGTTCGGTGCTTTTTACCTTGACTGCTGCATGTGAATCTTTTCTGTCTCATGATCCCAATATCTACTCGCTAAAGTTCTAGTTAAACTCAGAATCGCCCGAGATAGTGCATTCAGTACCATTATTCATTGGAAACTCCTGCATTCCCCAAATTACACCTTGCTCTATAAAGCTGCTTTTTTATGTTTAGTAAAACAATGCTATGCAGGTGATTTAAAATGTTTTTTTTAATCATACTCTTTCTCTACCTCCCCCTTCCCCTCTTCATCACAATTGTCCCCTTGAAAATCTAATCTGATAAAGAACTGACTAAGATAGAGTCATACTTTGTATCTTTTGATAGTTCTGAACATTGGTCTGCTGGTGTTTGTGAATTTTAGGGGATCTTCCTTAAAATATAATAGATGAAAAATCTTTGGGTTTGATTGAGATTTCACAGGCCAATTCTCATTCTATTACATTCTCATTCTGCAGGAAAGCTACCACCACACAAAGCACCCAAGGGAACCACTCAATATCGCCGTTGCATTTCTACTTCTTAAAAGGAATGTTCTCTATGTATTCTGATTCATTGAATCAAGCCCTGAAGTAATCGGTAGTTCTTGTTTTAATTCAGATGGAACTTTACTAGCTTGCCACAACAGGAGATCGAGATTTGGGGAAAGGCAGAGCTGCCTTAAGCCATTTACAGATGATGATGTCACTGACATGAATGAGTCTGATGGAGATCCAGGTAAACAAAATTTGGAGAGTCCTATGTGACTTTAGCGTTATGTATGGTCCTGCCTACATTGGCCGGGCATTGCAATTTGTACTGCACAGCCCTAAAGCCTTTATGTTTTTGTCTTATCTGTCAAATTCAAATTGAGTCAATTCCCAAACACCTATGGTAGGGTGGTTTTACCTGGTTAAGGTCCAGCAGGCCCCATTACACACTCTGAGCCCCTCAGTATTGGTTCCTGCCAATTTGTGCCTAATGATCTTCAGGATTTGATAAACAGTGCATAGCCACTGGTTGTGCCAATCCTCACCCAATTAGCAACCAGGCCCATCCGTCACTTTCAGACGATCTCTTAGCAATATGAAGAGAGCTGGAGTGGGAGATATGAACACAAAACACAGACTCCAATACACCAGAACCAAGGCAGTTAAGGTTTATTCAAGTCCATTTACTGGTAGCAGTTTTCAACTGCAATTTTCACAAACAGCATTCAAAAGCATCATGAAATACAGGGCAGATTTAGACCACTTTAAAAGCTAGTAAGTGAATGTAATGATTTTTGTAAAGGGATTTAATCGACCAGTTTGGTATTCAAACGTATTTTGTTTCAATTGCATTGTTCCTATCGCTCTCCACGCTGCCTCTTACAAAGTTGTGAGGCACGTTCATTACCTATCCATCATTAGTTGGTGCCCACACAAATTTCCATTCCTAACTACGCCACTGTGGGAGAGAGGGCGAACTCCATTCTAGACACAGGGAAATTTTCATGTGTAGGCATATATGTGGAATTCTCAATGGAACTCTCAGTCTGGTTTGGATACCCTTAAGCATGTGATGGGTTTCCACTTGTGTCCCCTTGCCAAAAACAAAGGCAGTGGCTCCCAATTACAGAAACAACCTAAGCATTAGTCTCTTAATTTTATCTTCAACAAAATTGTGCTTATTTACAATTTCACACTGAATACCTAAGGAGCTAAGCAATCAGAGCTGTGCAAAATCCTCCACCTTCTGCTGTAAAATTTGTTTAATAGTTTTCATGACACGTAATTTTGATTTCTGAAATGAGAATGTTAGTGACTTAACAATGGAGTCAAGCAGGAACAGAAGCACTTTCCCGAATTTGATTCAACATATCCCAGATGAAATAGGGTCAAGGTGGCAAAGTGTGAGGAGATGGAGCACCTTTAAAGGTGCATGAATACATAGAATCTATATAATAATAACTTGTATTTATATAGCACCCTTCATCTCAAAATGGAGAGCATGGGTAGCATCTCAAAAGCACTGTAGCATTAAAAAAGGCCATTTGGCCCAAATTCCCACCCACCGCCTGTTCTAATTTCCCCGCATTGCTCTCAATACCCTTCTCGCTCATGTGTGCATTGAATTTCCTGTTATATGTCCTGAGGATTTCTGTTTCAACTATGGCTTCTACTAGTGAGTTCCTCACGCTCACCATGCTCCTCTGTGTAAGAAAGTTGCTTCTCAATTCTCTTGTAGATATATTAGTGGAAACAACAAGTGGAAACTGTCTATTTATGTTCACCTTATGGAATCCCTTCATAATTTTTAACACATCTATCAGGTCTCCTCTTAATCGTCTCATCTTGAGGGAAAATAAGTCTTACCACTATATTGATGCCATCTCAACTTCACTGGGACTTTCCCTCGGTGCTTGATATGTGCTCAGGATGTGGCACACAGGCTGAAGAAAAATAAACAAACATGAAATATTTTTTTCTGGGCCTCAAACATTTGGAGGTACCCATGGGAACCTCAAAGCAATCCAGCTCTGAACCCCTGAATTTGTTCACATTGTGCAGAATAACTACACAAAATAAATAAATAAGGTCAGTGGACTTCTGCTACAGTCTGAACATCTGCTGTGGCACTGACCTTCATCTGGTGACCTGTGAAACAAACAAATATGGTTGAAGGAAGCAATTTTCCATGAATGCCGTCTAACGTGAGGCCTTCCTATGTGAATGAATCATTGAGAATCCTGCTGGGCATTTTTCAGCTGTAGAATTTTTCAAACTTCTTTAACCTATGATTTTTTAAAAGTATAACATTTTGTAACATGTTGCACAGCTCCTTGGCAGTTGTGATTCCACTGGGAGAGCCCTGACAATGTTAGGAAGAGCTAAGGCAAGTTAATTATATATTTTTTCAAACGTACATTGCACTTTTGTAATCCCACCTCAACGCCCTGAGAATATGGTGACACACACAGTTATTGGTGAGTCCATTCTATAACCATAGCCATGGGTTTTCAACATATTATTGAACTACTCCACGGGGTGTAGAGCATCCAGATACAAACATTTCCATGGGTATGTTTCTACTGTAAATTTCCATAGTTGGGATAGAAAGGATTGCTTTTAATAGAGCCAGCACAAAAATGATGGTCCGAATTGCTGCCTTCTATGCTGTAAATTTCTATAATTCTCCTGAACATGGAAGTCTCAGTCTGGTATGGATATTCTTAAGCATGGTGATGGGTTTCCATGTGTCAGACACCTGGCTGAACACCCACCCCACCCCAGAACATCCCATAGAGTGGGTTGCTTTTAAGAAAAGACAAATAATCCTTCAAAAGGCTTAAATAAGAAAAGCGTTACATAAGGGATAATTGTGTCATCAACGGTGACCAGAAGGACTTATTGTGACCGTTGTCCACAGAATCTCGTGAAACTGACCTCCTGAGTGGGATGGATGGGAAAGGTTCTTACCAAGTCCAGGGTTGGAAGCTCATTCGACAGCAGTTTGTGGCATTGTTCTGGAAGAGACTGATTTATGCCAAACGGAGCAGGAAAGGAATCTTTGCTCAGGTGAGTGAAGGGCTTGAACCCACAACCTTCTGACTCAGAGGCAAGAGCGATAACACTGACCTGTCACGGTGATGTTACTACAGATGAAGGGATTATCAGCTGAGATTTGAATTGGCTATATTCATGTAATGTCTGATTTCTTCTACTCACCAGCAGGGAAAACTGCTGGGCAAGTTATACATAACCTGAGCTGTGCATTTTCCATCCACAGGTTTAATTTGTAAGGATGAACAAAAACACATTTTCTAAAGGATAGAGGGATTAAGGGATATGGGGATAAGGCGGGCAGTTGGAGTTAATTTAAAAGATCAGCCATGATCTTATTGAATGGTGGGACAGGCTTGAGGGGCTGAATGGCCTACTCCTGCTCCTAATTCCTATGTTCCTATGTTCCACATTGCAAAATCAAAGCACTGAAATAAAACTTAGTAGAGTTAGTCGTTTATAAAAAGGACATTATCGGGAACTGACGTCAGTGCTTAATATTTAGTTCAGTCCTGATGGGTTTTGATGTAGAAATTAATTAAGTACCCTTAATCTGGCAATCTGTTTTACGCCACGCTACGTCAGTCATGACAGTGTTAGTAGATGTGCCTTGGCAGGCCATCCTTTACATGAAAGAGTGATGATGTGTGTGCATCTTACTGTGAAATCATCAGCAGCGAAAAGCATAAGGGGAAAAGACACTTTAGAAAACCAGACAATAACTTTATCAATCTGTAGCAAAGAGTCTCCTTATAATATTGGACAAGAATTAATGTTTGCATTCCCGTGTCGCACAACCTGTCTAAAGGATATCTATGGGCTTCTTTGTTTTGCAGATTGTCTTGCCTGCCGTGTTTGTGTGCATAGCCCTGGTGTTCAGCCTGATCGTGCCTCCCTTTGGTAAATACCCCAACTTGGAGCTACAGCCATGGATGTATGATGAGCAGTACACATTCATTAGGTGGGTCTTTAATTACATACGGCAGAAATCAGCTCCATGCACATACTGGACAGATATTGGCTGAAGATCGAATGACTCTAATGAGGCCTCTGACCCTAACTTAGAAAATAATTCAGAGCTGTGTGCAAGCTGGGCTCCGAGTCTCTTGTCAAACAGAATTGAGAGGGGAAACAAAATCTTCTTTATAAAGACAAGGGTTTATTTTGCTTGGACAGTGGTTCAATGGGCTTTCAAGCTGTTCTTATAAATATGAAGTTTGTATGAGGGGGTTATTTAGTTTAAATTTTTATGTTTTTTAATTTGTCGATTTGATACTGTTGCCTGACTAGTTAAAAATTGTGCTTGTCAACATTACTTTGGTAGCAGGGGATTTTAACTACTCACCGTGACTTGTCTGCTCATTTTGAAATGCTGTGATACTCAAAGTGTAGTTTGAGGAAAGGGTTTTACCCCCTTGCTAGGCAATCAGTGATCAGACCCTTCAAATTGACACCAAACAGAATGGCATCATTGTAAAGCGTTTCATACATTTGATTCTGTGTTGTAAATTTAGGGGCATTTTCAATACTACCTAATCTGAGTATCTGAGTATGTTTCAGTCCTTTTTTTGGGACTTTACTGTACCAGTGTTGGAAAAATGATGTGCATTGTCAATAAAAAATTACTTTAAAATGCCTAAAATGCACATTAAGGCCTAATTTGTGATATATTGCCGTTAATTGTAAGTTCCGGATTCCAATGTTAGAGACAGACAATTGGGATTCACAATTTGACAAACTTCAACAAATGGTGCTGAACAAAACTGCATTGGAAGCAGACTTTTTTCAGACTTTCCTGGATTGTGTTTTGAAGTTCACAATTAATGCTGTAACTGTAATACATTATATTTGCTGGTACTATTTTCAGGGCTTAAGATAACTGAAATTCAGTGAAAAACCACTGAGCTTCTTGTTTAAAATCTTTTGCAGTAATGACGCCCCTGGAGACGCAAACACAGAAGAAGTACTTAATTCTCTTGTTAACAATAATCCAGGATTTGGGACTCGCTGCATGAAAGGAAACCCTATACCGTAAGTAAATTGCAGATATCTTACATTATGCTCCTAAGGTGAATATATTGGAAGTCCTGTGGATGGGAATCGGGAAAGAGCTGAATAAGTTTAATGGATTTAGCTAAGTAGTTTGTTTTCAGTGCAATTTCTAGCAGTTTCTCCTCTGTAAAGGTCTTTGTGGTCTGCCCCAAAAACCTATTTGAGTGCTATTGATTCTCTGATTGTATAGAGCCAGAAAATCCTATCGCAGTGTATCTTGCTAGTTCTAAAGTAAAATAGACACCATACACTACACTTCTGTACCCTGAGTTGAATTTGTTGCCAAAGATATTATCAAATTTCCTTTAAAATTTGCTCCTGCAATCTGCATTCCCCTGGGAGTCTCTTGCACTTATTCAGAACTCTTCTTGTAAGGTAATTATATGTGATCTTCTGTATATCTTCCATCATCTGATCTCTACGCTGTACTATTAATCTACTCAAATATAAAAATGTCTCATGATTTTTTGTTTAAAAATGGAAACCTTTTGCCTTGGGATTAAATGTCATGTTCAGCACTTATGTAGTGTACCTTAATCCATTCTTTGAGTAATGCAGAGAGTTAGTACAAACAAATCCCAGTTTTATCTGTGTTGAAAAACTGAAGACTGAAACGTGAGCTTTTCTGTGTTGTGCCCTCCCGTGTTAGGGACACTCCCTGCGAATTTGGAGCTGAAGAGTGGGAGACACCCGATGTACCAGATTTTGTCATGGACATCTTTCTCTACGGAAACTGGTCAATGGAGAACCCATCGCCGCCCTGTCAGTGCAGCAACGACAATGTGAAGAAGATGCTCCCAGATTGCCCTCCAGCTGCTGGCGGCCTGCCACCTCCTCAGGTCAGAGAAGGAGATGCTTTGCTTCCATTGCAAATAGATGCATTCAAAACGAAGCAAAATATAGACATGAGTGGAAGGGAAGAAAACAAGCGAGTGAGAAGTAGATGGAGACTCATGCGCAGTATAAACACCAGCACTGACTGGTTGGGCCTAATGGTCTGTTTCCATGCTATACATTCTATGCAAATGTACACAGCAATGGCCAAACATAATGAGTAAAAAGTTAGTTCTTGTAGAGCTTTGACAGCTGTGCTTTGTTACTTAAAATAGCTTGATAACCACTGAGACAAAAAGGGTTTTATTAGGTAGAATTTGTTTATGAGTTACTTGTTGCAATATATAATAATATGATAATAATCATCATTGCATTTGATATAATGCTTTAATACATTGTCGAGATGTCCCAAAGCGCTTCATGGGATTTTATTGTGAAGTAGTGACTATCTGTAGGCAAATGCAGTAGCTAATTTGCGCATAGGAAAACACAGGGGTCGGAAGTTGGCAAAGCTTTGAAGCAGTAGGTGTAATTCCCACACGCAGCAAACAATCTTGTTCCATTAAACTGTGGGAGCTTAAGAACAGAGGAGGATGGGAAAGTGGGTTACTTCATGCTCTTGTGAATTCCCGGGCTGAATAAGCAGTAACATTGACAACATACTGGCTATCACGCAAGCCGCTCAACCTCTATGTAAGAGTGAGCTGTGTGGTGTGGAGGGATCAGATAGACGGTGGGAAAATAGATTCAACTTGAAGGATGACAGAAGAATTAAAATGTTTTAAGAAAGGAAATGACATTCAGAGATCATTGTTGAATTCTTTCAAAGTGATGATTATTGTCTTTCCTTCCAGATGAAAAGAAATTCCACTGAAATCCTCCAGAACCTTTCGAACAGGAACATATCAGATTACCTTGTGAAAACCTACGCGCAAATTATCGGAAAAGGGTATGCTGAACATCTGTTTAAAGTCAGCCTGTCACCGGTGTGTCGTGCAGTGAAGAGAGAGTTTATGGGTGGAAGCCCACAAAATCAAAAGGGTAGCTTGGATGATGAAGGTCCATTGGCCTATTTTATCGCATCCCTTCAGAATACCCATCCTACCATCCCCCCATCCCAGCATCAAGGTGTTTTTTTAAATGAATCCAGTGTGCTGGTCTCAACACCCTTCCTTGCAACTTGTTCCAACAACAACAAATTTACATTTTTTAGCGCCTTTCACATCGGGAAGACGTCCCAAGGAGCTGGACAGACAGAGTTTCATACCCGAGTTGGGGGTCGGGATCGGGGAGGGTGGAGGGCAGAGGGGGGAAGTGGGGAGATCAAAAGCATGGTCGAAGAGGAGGGTCTTGAGATGGGTCTTGAAGGAGGCGGGAGGGAGTGGGGCGGAGGAACTGTGGGAAGGAGTTCCAAAGGATGGAGGCAGAGTGGCAGAAGGCCGGCCTGCCAATAGTGGGGCGAGCAGGGCAGGGGACGTGAAGCAGGCCGGAGCCCGCTGTGTGGAGGGAGCAGGCAGGAGGGTAGGAGGTCACAGAGGTTGCAAAGGTAGGGGCGAGCAAGATCATGGAGGGCTTTGAAGATGAGTACCAGGATCTTGAACTTTATCCTCTGTGTGATGGGAAGCCAGTAGAGTTGGGTGAGGATAGGGTGATAGGGTCATGGAGCCTGAGTCATTAATTACCTTCTGAGTAAAGACAAACTTCCGGGTGTTGCTCTTTGCAAATCTAAACCCGTTTCTTCTCCTTCTACTGTTTTGGTGGCATCCAAAAGTATTGTTCTGGGTTTACGTTTCAATACCATCTAAAATGTCATACACCTCCATGAGGTCCCCCTGAGTCATCTTCTCACAAGACTGAAGATCCCTAACTTGTCTCTGTGATGTGCTTCGAACCTGTTTGTCTTTGTAATTCATTCAATTCTGTTTCCTTTTACAGCTTGAAGAACAAACTCTGGGTGAATGAGTTCAGGTAGGTTAACACTACTTAGGCTTGTACCTATATCTGTGCTGTTTGAAACATTTAAGTAGGCATCTCGTGGGGAATAGGGAACAGACTTTACCTAGGCCAGGGAGGGAATGAGCATCACACGACATGTACTTTGCAGAGGAGAAAATTTTGCATGTGATACTGTCATAACCACCCAGTCAGTAGATACACAATTAGTTGAGGGTCATCACTGGCTCAGGTATGGGCTAAGGCACAAATACTCTATAAACACAAAACAAACAAGCTCAGCTGTCAAGGTTATGGGATTTGTTTGGGTAATGACAACAACAACAATCTTACATTTATATACTGCCTTTCAGCTCAGGAGCTTCTGAGAGCCAACTGGGAGCTCAAACTGGGGGTGGGGACAGCTGAGGAAGGTCGGGGAGGGGTTTTGAGAAAGGTGGCCAAAAAGCTTGATTGAAGAAAAAAGACTTAAAAGTGGGGTTTTGAGGTGGGGAGGGAGGGGGCGAGGCAAAAGGTCTCCAGGATGAAGTTGTGGAGAGTGGGGGTAGGGGGCAGAATGGATGGAAGCTCGGCCACCGATGGATTCGTATCATGCTGGTGTGTGCCCTGAGAGTGCTTAGGCTACAAGGAGCTGCAGCTGATGTGTTCTGTGTTCCACAGGTATGGAGGCTTTTCACTGGGTGGGCGCAATTCTCAAATTCAATCAAGTGGGGAAGAAATTGGTGACGCCATACTGAAACTGAATAAGATGCTCGGCATGACGCAGGTCAGTGTTGGATTGAAACACTCATGCTCTATCAGGTTCTCGAATTATCTCAGTCAATAGTGTGGAAAGTCTAGACTTGTATCATCAATAAGAGATGTGTGAACAAGTGAGAGCAAGCGGTTACAGACCTGAGCTTCACCTGGGCTCTGACTTCAAACATATATGCACGAATACTGCCTCCACCTTCCAAATAAGGATCCCACTCAAAAAAGACAGAAATATGTCAACAACAACAACTTGCACTTATGTAGCACCCTCCACGCCGGGCGGCGTTTCAGAGCGTTTAACAATAGCGGAGCAAGGGGCAGGGGAAGTGATCGTATTCATGGTCGAAAAGGAGGGTCTTCAGGCGTGACCTGAAGATGGGGAAGGAGGGGGTGAGGCGAAGGGGTTGAGGGATGTCAAAATTATGTTAGCCAGGTCCCATGGAGAAATCGCCAGAAACGCATTAAGTCACAGTTCCAGTCACCAGAAGGAATCCCCATGTGTGTCTCAAATTGAGATATCCTGATTGAAAGTGTCACATTTGAGACTGCAGCGTGGCTTTGCACTTTGGCAAAATCAGAAGATCACAGGAAGATAACCCTTTGATTCACTTGATCAAAAAATCCAAAATACCCACCCGACCATCCTCACATACCAGTATCCAATGGTTTCCTGAATGAGCGCAGCATCTTAGCTCAAACACCCCTCCCGATAGCCTTTTCCAATTGTAAATTCCATCTGTGTAAAGAAATGCTTCTTTGTGTCAGTTCATGAATTGACGGCCATATTCCACTACACCGTCCTGAGGCCAAGTGTGGTTCAGTAGCACCAAGTCCAAACTAACTGCAATCAGATTCTTTTGATTCCCCTCGTTTGATTCTTGGTATGATTTGGTTCACTTGCTAGTTTTGAATACAATTCACATATGCTTCCTCACTAAACCAGCTGCTATATAGAGGAATTCAGTAGAAGATCACCAAGTTGGTGAATGGATTTGGGAATGAGAACGCCTTATCTCCTGTGTACAGGATAGCACGCTCTGAGCTCGGATCTGTTTAAACTGATAAGCTTCTCCTCTTGTATATTATCCAGACTCATGTGTGCTACTTCCTGGGACATACAGGAAAGCACCCTGTATGCTCTGTGTTGAGAGAGAGCATTGTTCTGCTCTATGAAGTACTGTAGACCATAGAAAGCACACAGTGGCAAAGGGGGCAATCAATTGCTTAAATAAAACAATCTATTTGAAATCACTGGGGAGCAGACCCAGATCAGCTGCTGGGTAAAATGGTTTTAAATGTTTAACTTGTTCAACATTCAACATACAGGGTGCATCTGGAGAACGATTCCTGAAAAGTATCTCAAAGTTTATGATAGGACTACACACAAAGGATAATGTGAAGGTAAGACATGGTCTTTAGTATTTATGAATTGTCATGTGTTTCATGCAGTCAAGTATTTTGATATTAGCATCACTCTCACGACCAGCCATTTCCTTGCTTTTTTTTTACCTGTACACTATTGGTTAGACTCCAGCAGTACCCCAACTCACACTCTGGGGTCCCCAAACTTTGTTTTTTTGCCAACCTATGCCTAATACAGAATGGCCTTGCCCCCTCCTACCTCTCTGACCTGCTGACTCCCTACCAACCTGCCCGCTCCCTCCGTTCATCAGGCTCCAGTCTGCTCCATGTCTCCCGCCCTACCATTAGTGGCCGGGCTTTCAGCCTCTGTGCCCCCACACTCTGGAACTCCATCCTACGATCCCTTCGCCTCGCTTCCTCCCTTGCATCCTTCAAGGCCGGTCTCAAGCCCCTTCTCTTTGATCGTGCCTTTTGTCTCCCTTCCACCTCTCTGCCTTCCCTCACCCCTACACCACCTCTCCCCCATGCTCGGGCCCCGAAACCTGACTGTTCAGTGCTTTGGAACATCCTCCGGATGTGAAAAGCGCTCTATAAATGTAATTTTGTTGTTCGGTAAAGCAGGAATGGAATTGAGTGCCCATTCCATTCCAACAATCTATCTCTGAGATTTCCATATGCAGGTGGGATACATGGAAATCTCAGCTTAGTTTGGGTACTCTTAAGCATGGTGATGGGTTTCCGCACGTGTCAGACACCCGGCTGCTGACCAAAAAACCCTGCTTTTGGCACTTATCAAATGCAAGGATTATTATTTACTCCCGTGAAGACTCCTGTTACCAGTGCCAGCCATTTCTGTGCACTGTGACACTGAATGAAGTAATAAAGGTCACTCATGATTTTAATCATAATGCCAGCCTATTAGGCTCCTCAAAAATATAATTTCAATTACTTTTTTTATTAAAAATTCCTGTTTACAACCTGAATACGTTTGCAGCATTAAAATCTGGAGAATGAGAGAAATGCCATACAAACTATAGTGTAAATGAAAACTAAGATGTAACCCATTTTCTCCTGTTATTATGCTCCTATTTTCCTGAAAATTATTCTTCTCATCACATGTAACTGATTTCTAAATGCTCCTGACTGCATATTATTAGTTGTTAAAGTTGATTGATTGTTATACTAATTATTATTATTATTGTCTGTATAATTTCCTCACTTCGACTGATTGACTTTTTTGCCAACATGTACAGGGTGACCAAAATCATGATTCCATTACAATTTCTAATCAGTCTTAAAGAAATTATGATTTTTATTTAGACAATAGGGTAGGTATATTTGCTACCCTATTAGGAATTTTTGTCACCCTGTATTTTTTTTTGCCATTATGCATTAATATATAATTTGTAGAATTTTTTACCAGAGTAATTGCATTTCTAAAAAATCCAGAATACTGAAGAATGCATTAAATAATGTAATAAACCAGAAAAAAATTCTTGAGCACACAAAATGTTTTAGACATTCAATAATTACACATTTCTTAGTCAGATTTGTTAATGTTCCTCCCTTGGACATTTCTAAATAAACAGGAAGATGAGGAAAGGAATCCATTGGCACATGGGGGGAGAATAATATCTAAAGCAGAATTGTACTGATACTTCAGTTAAAATTTCTTACATTATTAATTGTCCTTCATGACTATTGAAGTGTGATATTTATTTACACTGTCTAAATGGTTCTGCCATCCAGGTTTGGTTTAACAACAAAGGCTGGCATGCCATAGGAGCCTTTCTGAATGTCATGAACAATGCTATTCTGCGTGCAAGTCTACCAGAGGGAAAAGACCCCAGTGTGTATGGGATCACAGCCTACAATCATCCACTCAATTTGACCAAAGAGCAAATCTCCGAGGTAGCACTGTAAGTATCTGCTCCCATTGCCGTCAATCACTAAATATTGTTTTGCCCAGATTAAGAAAATGGGAGTGAATTTTGTTGTTTTCTAATGATTCAGTGTGATACCACAGCGAATGCATTATGGAACCATTTTCATTTCTTCTTGTTAAATAATTATCACCTGGCTTATTCTCCCCCACTCCTGAATTGCCTGTGTTGAGCTCATCTATTTTTTGAAACCTTTTAGCAACATTGGGCATAATCATAGAAGTTACCAAGTAGTAATTTGTGGAGTTTCATAACACATTCAATTGCTATTCATCATTTCAACTGCATTATTATACAAAGCAAATTTCACCCCATGAATTTCTTTACAAATAATGCATAACATCTTTTGTTTGGAGTGAAATGTTGCATTTTGTCATTCCATCCCTCAGAAGATTGAGTTCAAAATCCTCGTCTTCACCTTTGAGGCTCTCCACGGCCTTGCCCCGTCCTACCTCTCCAACTTGCTAAACCCTTATCAACCTGTCCACTCCCTCAGCACAGCCTGTTCCATGTGCCCAGCCCGCCCCACCATCGCCGGTCAGGCCTTCAGCCCCTCTGCCCCCACCCTCTGGAACTCCATCCCACATTCCCTTCGCCTTGCTCACTCCCTTGCCTCCTTCAAGGCATGCCTCAAGCCCCTCCTCTTTGACCATGTCTTCGGCCACACTCCTATCCTCTCTGCCCTCCACCCTTCTTGATCCCAACACTCCCCCCGCCTGCTTGGGCCCTAACCCCTGACTGTCCAGCACCTTGGGCTGTCCTCCTGACATGATAGACGCTTTACAAATGTACTTCTGTATTGTATTATGGGTTTGTACTGACTGCTTGATGGTTCAGATTGCCCTTACTGGTACAGTGCTTTATAGGTGGTTTCTCATAAGCATCAGAAATGTAACTACAGAATTTTGAGGAAAATAAAATGCATAAATTGCAAATGGCTCTGAGGATATTCTCCTGGGCTAAATTCTCAGTGAGTTTTCTTAATTAAGAAATTAAGACCATGGGGAATGCTGTTGCAACTCAAATACCGTAACATTTACCCCAGTGTTTATGAAAACGCAGGAATTTGCACTGCAGCAGATAGAGTGTTTACTGCTGGGATTTTCTGAGTGCTTTTTATTTTCTGATAAACATTTGATATGTTGATCATAATGAGCACGATTAGTAAGGTGGAGACAACATAGTGGAGTTCTTCATCTGTTTGCACACATCGAGGGAAGAGAAGTGCCAAGCATTGTATCAGGACTTGTATCTCTTCAGTAATCCCAGTATGGCCTGAAATGTTATCTGATGAGGCTTGTTAAACCAAAGAAAAGCCCTCAGATTGTCAGTATTGCGTTGAAAACTGTCTGGCTCATACCCCCAACGATATGGTCCCTTCACTTCTCATACAGCAGTATTGTTTGGTCTCCTTTAGTGGATGAATTCTCTATGGATGATGTACTTGTATCAAAGTACAGAAGAGAACTGGGGAGAGCGAAGGGAACATTAAATCTTGATTAATGTAACTATTGTACATACTCAACATTGCAATGAGATGGATTGTTTGTGTTGTAGGATGACAACTTCAGTGGACGTTCTGGTCTCCATCTGTGTGATCTTTGCCATGTCCTTTGTGCCAGCAAGCGTTGTGGTTTTCCTGATTCAGGAGCGGGTCACCAAGGCCAAACACATGCAGTTCATCAGTGGGGTGAAGCCAGGTGTCTACTGGTTGGCAAACTATGTATGGGATATGGTAAGTTTGTTGTGACTTTTCACCCACCTCTGCAATGTTTCTATTATTATTCTACTAATAATTATTCTATTATTATTATACTCCTCCGAGCAGGAGCTTACAGCCTGTTTTAGATCATCAGTAGAGAGCCTCGAAGTAAGCACGTGTTTGTATATCTGCTGCAGTTGTCAACAGACATTTTATTGGCCTGAGAGAATTACCTATTACATGTTTCACTCTATCTGTGTGATCTTCTCCAGCTCTATGTCCAGTCTGTACTCTGCTCTACTGAATTCAGTTTACTGCTCGTGCCCACTTACCTCTGTTCCTCCATTGGAGTCTGAATCTTCAGTCACCAGGCACCATAAATCTTGCATTTGATATCGTGCCTTTCACATCAGAAGGACATCTCAAAATGTTTCACAGGATTTACTGTAGTTTGTAAAATTATTATTGTTTTACTCTCTAAATGAAAGGCGGTATTAAGAGTCACGCATCAGGTACTTCTGTATCTTTAGTGAAGATAGTATTTGCCAAAATGAGGTATTGGAAGAAAACTTAAAATATATAATTCTCATTTTAACAGATCAAACAAGAGATTCATTTTTTGAATCAGGATTAACCATAGTTCTTTTCCCTCGTTAATTATTAATACTCTTCAGTGGTCGACCTAATGAACTATATTAAAGTACAAGTAATGTGGACTGTGTCCTGCTTGCTTAACTGTAGATTATCACTGGATGAATTTGCAGTGATTGTGTCACAGTCCTACTTTGCTGACCATGGCCATCAACACCAGACTGAGAGCAGTTATTGTAAAAGGAATAGATCGCAGGCAGTGAGATCACAAGATTAGTTCAGATAAAGAAGGCCAGTCCGCCAATCTGATCTTATGCTTCCACACACCCAGCCCACCGTCCGTCCATCACAACAACCAACTTTTTTTAAATAAGTCCAATGTCTTGGCCTCAACCAATCTTCCTAACAACCTGTTCCAGTCTCAAAGCAGCAATCTCATCCCACGACTCATAAATGATTAGGAGGAGCGCCACTTAGCCTGTAGCACCAATTTATTGGATCATGATAGATCTTTTAATACAATTTCCCGCCTTTTCTCTCTATATTCCCCACTTAACAAGTATCTGTTTAATATCTTGTTTTAAACATTCCAATCGGTTCTGACTTTATGACCATATGGGGCAGCCTTCCACATTTTTACAACTCTCTTGTGAAAAACCAGTTTTTTGAGCTCACTTTCAACCATCGCTGTTCTAATTTTAAGAATATCTCTTGTTTTGAATCCCTCTACCAGAGGGAAGAGTCATCCATTATCTAGCTCATGGCAACTTGTGGCCGGTGTGACTATTTTACGCACGTGTAATATGGCCCGAGGACCGCAATTTGGCCTTCCCTGATCTAGCTTGTCAATTCCCTTCATTATTTAAACATCTAAATTAGATAATCCCTTAACCCCCTCGTTTCAAAGGAAGACAGATCAAGTCTACTCAGCCTCTCCCATAGCTAAACCTATTTACCCTAGGTATTAATTGAGAGCACCTTCACTTGACATCCTCCAAAACTAGTAAAAGTTCTTAAGGTTTGGTGCACAAAAGTGAATACAATATTTTCCAAGTGTGGTTTAACATGCTCACTCTATAGCTGAAGCAGTACTTTGTTTTTGCATTATATAATAATACAATACCAGTTTACATTTATATAACCCCTTTCATATCTGTAAGCTGTCACAACGTACAGGACTGTGTAAGGTTTGCACCCAAGCTGGAGATGAGGGCTGACACGAACAAGGGGAGAGGGGAATGATGGCTAAAAGTGTGGTCAAAGAAGAAAGTGTTGAGGTGGACCTTGAAGGGGCCAAATGAAGCGGCGAGTCAAAGGGATGGAGTTCCAGAGAGTGGGAGCAGATATGTTGAAAGTCAGACTGCTGATGGTGAGGTGGGTGGGGCAGGGGACGTGAAGAAAATGTGGCAAAGAAGCAGGTTGGTGCCCACTGAGTAGGGGGAGCGACCAGATTTGTCGGTTTTCAGAAGGTCACAGAGGTAGGTTGGGGCAAAACCATGCAAAATTTATTCTCTTAATTCTCTGAGGACCATGATGTCACCTAAAGCTCCTTGAACAGCTTATTTACTGTTGTGGAGTCCTGTAGCTCAGTGGTTAGAGCACTTGCTTTGCAAGCGAGAGACCTGAGTTCAATTCCAGGCACAGGGCGAAACCTTGGGCAAGTTTCCTTACTCCACACACCTAATAATAATCCCTCCAAAAAACAAAACAATAATAAATTGGTCATTTTTAATCTACTACTGTTTGTGGGACATTGCTGTGCGCAATTGGCTGCCGCGTTCGCCCACAAATATACAGTCAATTCACTTTACAGTGTGTTCTGTGAAGCGCTTTGGGACGTCCTCCTGACGTGAAAAGCGCTATATCATATGCAAGGATTATTATTATTATTATTTCCATTTACTGTCATTGATCTCGGTTTGATACTGTATTCATGCTGTAGCCAATTACAGCCACTGTGTTTACATAGTATGCTGCTGCGCTCTAGTGGTAGGAGTCAGCACGACCTCTGGTGCATACTTTCCACAGCTGCCACCTTTATTCCCTTCTCAATTTGTAAAGATGTTGGTAAAACTTCCCAGCATGAAACTAACCAGGAAGGTGTCATCCTCAATCCTGCTCTACATTAGGTAATTAATCCTAACTTGGGTTATTGGGGCAGATATTGTTGTTGGAAAGTGCACGTGGGTTGGAAAGACAAAGACAAGATCAGGCAGTCTGCCAACATTTAGTGTTTGGGCTAGGATATGAAGAATGGCAACTTTGGTTAGACCCCATACGGAAGCCAATAATAATAATCCTTGCATTTGATACAGCGAGTGTGCAAACAACCCTCATTGAGACATCTCAAAGCGCGTCACACAGTATATTGTAAAGTGGATTGACTGTATTTTGTAGATGAAACACAGCAGCCAATTGCACACAGCAGTGTCCCACAAACAGTCTTGGATTGAATGGGAGTGGTATCAAATCCACGAATGTGTCACCATCTTCAGTAGGTGACTTAGAGAGGATTTGCAATAGATTGACAGGTCTTCATTTCCAACTCTCTTTGGGTCTTCTCAGTGTCTCTACATTAGTACAGTATAGTATTTGCAGAGCACAAGGTCCCGAAGACTTTAGCAGAACAGAACGGGACTGAATTGTACAGTTGTTAATAACGTATCTTTAAAAATGAACTTAAGCCAATGGTTAACGTTTTGTATGACAGAGAGCTGCAAAGAATCCTTCCTGATGAACAGTACTTTGTTTACCTCAGTGTTTCAATTACAAATTGTGTTTTTTTTTACAGTGCAACTATGTGGTTCCGGCTACACTTGTCATCATTATTTTCGTCTGTTTCCAACAAAAATCCTATGTGTCTTCTTCCAATTTGCCCGTGCTTGCTCTGCTTCTCTTCCTCTATGGGTAAGTTGGTGGCTAGCACTAGATGACTTTACCAAGAATGAGAAACCCTGTTATAAGCACTGGAAGCAAACAGTGCATGTTTTACCCCACACAGACAAATTCACAATGTTTTCTGAATTGAGAAGAACAGTTCTTATACCTAATAATAATAAGTCTGTTCGTTTGCAATATACATGTTGTGATGAATTATTTTTACTCCGCACAAGACTGGAAACCTCGACCTTCCATGCCTGTATGGCTCAGTTTCACTTTGGTTAGTGGCTTTAGCAACAAAATCATCATCATCATCATCATCACTATTCCCTTTCTTAAAGGATCCAAACAATTCTCAATTTTATTTGTTACAATACAATAATATACATTTACATAAACAATTTACATTTATATAGCACCTATCACATTCGGAAGGATATCTCAAAGTGCTGCTGTCTGGACAGATAGGAATAGGGCAGGAGACATGAAACAGGCATTCATACCCCCATCCTATCCCCCAGTGTTTGCTGAGTGTTTGGGTCAGTAGGGTTGGAGGAGGAAGATCATGGGGTGAGACCAAGGAGGGAATTCAAGGTGAAAACAAGGATCTTGAATTTGATCTGCTATTTCAGATCTGTTGTTTCTTGCTCATTACATAGAATGCTATGTAATGGTGTGGCTGTGTATTGTAACTGTGGGCTCTACATGTACTTGCAGGTGGTCCATCACTCCATTGATGTATCCGGCATCATTTGTTTTCCGAATCCCCAGCACAGCCTATGTGATATTGACCAGTGTGAATCTGTTCATCGGTATAAACGGCAGCATTGCCACCTTTGTACTGGAGCTGTTCAGCAATAATGTAAGGAACCAGCAAGATATGTTTGTTTACTGTACTTCAAAACCCTTACAAAATGGGGCACGGCCAGAACAATGCCGGAGCTGATGTTTGCTTAGTTTGATAGCAGACTGAAATCAGAGAAGTTATCGATTAACAACAATGCACACCTTGATGGTTCTACTAGTTTGATAAATACATATTACTGATCTAATGTTTTATTTTGGGAGGTGTGAGGTGTAAATCATATGTTTGATATGCTGGCATTATCACAGGTACTAGAAAGAGGTAGTTATTATTAATAATAATTGTTGCATTTATTGAAATAGCATCTTTCACATTGGGAGCAAAGTGCAGTGATTGTGTAGTCTGTGGGTGGCATTTGCACTGCAGTACACATTATCATACTCTGGGGTTTGATTAGCACTGAAAAGGATAGTATGACTGTAAAGGAACATAGATATACAGAACAGGAAATGACCATTGAAGTCTATTCTGGCTGGTCCCCAAATAACAAGTAAATCAGCACTCCTCTGTAGTTGTGATTATATAACAACACGATTTGCAGATAAAGACCCTTATGTTGCAAATAGCCATTCCTGATGATAATTGGATTGTATTGGTGTCTGACTCAAGTAGGTCTTCTTATGATTGCATTGGAAACATTACCAAATAGATGTGTCTCAACCACAATGCATTCGTAAGAAGTCATCTTTTCAGTGCAAGTCAATGTACTGAGCTGCAAATTTCATTCCACAAAATGCAAAGTCACTATATTAGACACGATCAGGTGCAACACTTTGATTCTGTCTCTATTGGCCATGAACATTTCAGGTGACCCACATTCTCTTAATCCCTTAAATGTGCAAAGCTTTCCCATTTTATTATCAAATTTGATTTGATCACTTATTTCTGCACTACAGATGTCAATGTATTTTCATGGCTGAGAGCAATACATCGACATCCTTAGAGCAGTAGCGAATGCAGTGTAATAGCTGTGTAAATAACTGACAGGTCATGGTTTGGGCCATCAGATAAATATAATTTTGTTTGCTTTTATGGAGCACTGAATTAAAACTAAAACAATTCTGTTTCACCTCTTTCTTCCCCTCGTCCTGGTTTAATATTTCCAGCTAACTCTAAATAATCATTGGTTGTTTAATTGATTGCTAAAATGGGTTCTCTCTTGTACAGAAGCTAAACAGCATCAATGAAATTCTGAAGTCAGTGTTTCTGATCTTCCCCCACTTCTGCCTGGGCCGAGGACTGATCGATATGGTGAAGAATCAGGCCATGGCAGATGCCCTGGAAAGATTTGGTGGGTGATTGATGATCTGCATTTTGAGGACAGTAGATTCTGAAAACCTATTTTGAAGTCCCTGCTGTTAGTTACCCTGCCTTAAAGTGTCACAACTCACATTTTATTTCCTTAAAAATAGAAATCATGTTATAATAATAATGTGATAAATCATTGTATTTGATACAGTGTCTTATCACGTCATCACAGTATCTCAAAGTACTTCACAGGATTTTACTGTGAAGTGTAGGCGAATGCGGCAGCCTATTTGCACAGAACAATGTCCCACAAATAGTCTCGAAGTGCATGACCAATTTTATTTGGAGATTGTAGGCCTGGACACTGGGAGAAATTCTCTTCTCTTTTTGAATAGTGCTGTGATCACTGGAGACATGGATTTAATATCCACCTGTACAAGCGATGGGCCTCAGTTTAACATATCATCCGATGTAGTACACTCCCAGCACTGCACTGGAGTGTCAGTCTGGATTGTGGGGCTTGAACCCACAACTGTCTGACTCGGGGCAACAGTACTACCAACTGGGTCAGGCTGACATTGTGATGTTCATGTGAGATTGTTTTCTGGATTGATTTGGAATCTTTCTGGAGAATATTTTACACCAGTTTTGGTTTCCAGCACTCAAAGTTCAATTTGGGTTAAGTTAAGGTTGAGATTCCCACTATGCTTCTCACCACTGTTCTTTACCCTAATTTCAAAAAAAAACATTCTCCACTGTAATAAATTTCACACTGGAGCAGATTCTTTCCCGAGGCTGTAGTTAAAGCACATTGCTGAGGGAAGGGGAGTTTCTTTGTGCAGCTGGCTCCACATTGATACCAACACAGGAATCCTAAAGAGGAAAAGTATTCCATTTCCCAGCACTGATGACTAAATTAAAATAACTATTTAGAATGAAAGGGGGTCATAGCTCTCCAGATGCCACCATGACATGAAACATGCTGCTCAGAATTATTTTGTTCATTTGTTTCTTCTTTCGTTCGTTCTTTTACCTAGTCTTTCCTTCCTTTCTTTCTTTCTTTCTTTCTTTCTTAAACTCAGTTAATAAGAAGAAAGTACAATACCAATCAGTGACTATAGGTGGTGCTGCTAAGGACAATTATAAGCCTGGCAGCGTTACCTTGAGGCACCTGGGAGTACTCCAACCCTGGTCATGTTAAAATTAGTAATGGCATATTACTGGGTGAAAAATATAATCTTGTAGAAACATAGTCATTTAAAAGAGAAAATAATTAATTTGGAGCAGGAATGAGAAGGCTCAGTTTAGGTGGAACTCTCCTGGTGATCTTATTGTTCTCATGCAGGTGAGAATCGTTTTGTTTCACCTCTTTCCTGGGACCTGGTTGGAAGGAACCTGTTTGCTATGGCTGTGGAAGGAGTTGTTTTCTTCTTCATCACCGTATTGATCCAGTACAAATTCTTCATAAAACCCAGGTGAGTGCAGCCCAAACCACAAACTACTGCTTGTTGGTAGGTCGGAGGTACAATAGAGCCAACTGTCCAGCGCCTTGGAACGTGCTCCCGACGTGAAAGGCGCTCTATAAATGAAATCTTGTTGTTGTAGACACTTGTCATCTTTGATTCCTTCCAAATTAATGGGTGAAAACGTAAATTAATTTTCGCATTCAGATATATCTCAACCAAGCTGATAGACCTTAAAGTGTGTTTGGAGAAGAAGGCAAAAAATCAAGTATTAATTAAAGGCATGCCCCATTTATTAATATTTGGTGTTTAATTAAGGCTGGAAGAGTAATGACTTTGTGGCTTTATCCAGACCCTCGAATGTAAAGCTGCCACAGCTGACTGATGAAGATGAAGATGTGGCCAGAGAAAGGCAGAGAATAATAAGTGGAGGCGGCCAGAACGACATTCTAGAGCTGAAAGGTCTGACCAAGGTAACCTACATGCTGTCCTGCCAAGCCCTCCTCCCATTGAGATAGCTCTCTGTGGCCATGTTTGCCATTGCTTACCACGGTGATCTTCTGTTCCAGGTTTACAGGATGAAGCGGAAGCCTGCAGTAGACAGAGTCTGTGTTGGGATACCCCCTGGAGAGGTAAAGAGAAGTGCAACTCTACTCTGTTTCAATGCCTTGTTCACTTAGAGTGTGGTGTCCTGTGGAAGTTTGGTACAGCCAACCACATATTTTTTGAAGACCAATAGTACCATTAGCATGTTAAACATGATTGAGTTATAGGATGAACTGTAGTTCTTCCTGTACTGATGTCATTAACTAACCCAATAGGCTAGTGGCAGTGTGTAGATCTGATGTTTTTGCTTTAGTCAGCTTTCTGATCACAACTCTTTTTTTCTCTCACAGTGTTTTGGGCTACTGGGTGTGAACGGTGCTGGGAAAACTACAACATTCAAGATGTTGACGGGTGACTGTGAGGTCACGGGGGGAGAAGCCTTCCTCAACAACCACAGGTAGGAGCGCAAAGGCTGCTTGGAAGTATCTTAGCAGTTAACACTATTTTTTTCTTACGTTTCTGCAAACAAATAATCTGAATGTATAGAACGTAGCTGTAGAATTAGGTGATTGCTAACTTAATTTGTCCACAAACCCAGTCACTGCACTTTATATTAAATACTGTGAAACATTTTGCAATTATACTGCTGATGTGAAAGGTGCTATACCAAATGCAAGGATTTTTCTTATTATTTATCTGGGACATGTAAACTTGTCTGATCCACGTGAGGTGTGTAAAGAATGAACTAAACTATCAGCCAGAAGACTTTACATTTATTGCACATTATCACATTTAAGTACATTCTGATTGGTACCAGGAAATCAAGGTTATAATAATAATTATTGCATATGACATAGCGCCTTTTGCATTAAGACAACGTCTTAAAAAGCTTTACATGATTTTTACTGTAAAGTGCAGTCACTTTATATTCGCAGCAGTGAATTTGGCCGCAGTAATGAATTTGTGCCACAGCAATGCGCCACAAACAGCCATGAAGTGAAAGACCAATGGTCATAGCATGTGAAAATCCATCAAAAATCAAAAATTACCGAGATGCCAGGTGATCAGGGGAGAGAACCTTTTGTATCGCTCAAACCTTTGGCTTATGCAACTTGGATTGGTTACTTCAAACCTGTTTCAATAATAGAAGTACAAATAAATATGACAATAAAATAAATCTGTATTCTAACCCACCTCCAATATATAGCCATTTAAAACAAAATGCATTTAGATTTCTGTTTCTGCAGCTCTACAAAATTATATCAATATCCACCATCATTGAAGATTAACTATTATATGGTCTCCATCACCCTATGGTACTTCACAATAGTTTTGCTTCCTGTGTGGACACAAAACCATAGAGATTTACAGCACGGAAGAAGCTACGTTCGGCCCAACATGTCTGTGCTGGCTCTTTTAAAGAGCAAAGCTTTCAATCTCGTTTAATTGCCTTTTACTCATAGCTCAAGACAATGAGCTTTGTCATCTTTTTCAGCTACTGGTACGAGGTGATCTCGCAGCCCTGCCTTTATATGGTGAATGCACACAAGCACTTTGGGGTTATAAAATGTTTGCTCAGTAAAGTAAACTTTATGGCCTGAATGGTCTTACTGGTGCCGTGCTTACTCATGGTCTTAATACTTTGTTTTTTTTCTGCTGTAGCATTTTATCCAACATACAAGAAGTTCATCAGGACATGGGTTACTGCCCTCAGTTTGATGCTGTCAATGAATTGCTGACTGGGCGTGAGCACCTGGAGTTCTATGCACTGTTACGCGGAGTTCCTGAAAGAGAAGTTTGCAAGGTAAAACCCACAGGAATCAACATCACAAATTACTTTTGAGTTTTACAGCGACCCACCTGGCACATTCACTTTGTGTGTCATGCTAAGCCATCTCTTAGAGAAACCATATCCTTTGAGAGTTTTATTATTTTGAACAAGGGCAATTTAATTCCCCTCTATTTTTCTTCCCTTCTGAAGGTAGTGACTCACATAGGGAGGCGTACAGTTACACTACCACCAGGCACTGTATGGCACTTGCCCAAAGCCCATTACTTTATGTATAAGTCTAGAAACTGAGTGTCAGCGTGTTACTTGACCGGGATAATTTATAAGAGCTGAGCCTTGTCCTGTCTCAAACTGCATCTTCATACAACAAGCTATATCAACACGTGTCAAATAATATCAGACTATATCAAACTACATCTACAACAATAAGCTACATCAAACTAGATCTACATACAACAAGGTACATCAGCACATCAAATAATATCAAACAGTATCTACATAAAATAATCTACATCAACACACAACAAACTACATTCACACACATCAAACCACATCCACACACTTGCAATTTCTAATGGGGGCACTGGATAGTAAGTAGGAGAGGGGGAACCCAGGCTAGAGAGAGACCTATCTGATTCCATTGTAACAGAGATTGTAACAGAGAGCAAATCTAAATGTTCTCTTGCTCACATGCACATTTGTTTCTGATGCCAACTAATCTATCAGCAGCACACATTGACGAACCTTGGCCTGTTATAGTTGCACAAATCCCATTTCCTCAGATCATATAGGTGGACCCTGAATTAATATGAGTCCGGAGAAAGTCCAGAGACCAACTGGTTAGAAATCAGGAGAGGGGGAACCCAGGCTGGTCTTTGCTGATGGACCCACAGTACATGTACAGACATTGAACTGGAGGAGGAAGCCATCTTCTCAGTTGAGGTCCAGTTGGGGGTAGATTTGATTTTCTTAGTTGTGGTCAAACCGAACAATCAAGTCAGTAAATGATGAAATGGTTTGAATGGTTTTCTGTGAATTTGTCTAACAATATTTTTTTATTCTATCAGATTGCTGAATGGGGAATCCGAAAGCTGGGAATTGTCCGATATGCAGATAAGAAGGCTGGCAATTACAGCGGAGGGAACAGACGTAAACTCTCCACTGCTTTGGCACTAATAGGAGGGCCTCCTGTGATATTTCTGGTCAGTATCATATACAGTGACTGCTGAACACATATAAGGGTGACATTTAAAACATTATTTGTGTGAAATAGCATAGAAACACCAAGGAATGTCAAAAATTGTACCCATTAATTACTACAGACCTGCTATTGATTAAAGTCGCTGTTTAAATGCCTTATTCCGTGCCATTGCAAAGATGGGATTATTCATTATGTTGTTGTCAAAGAGCTGTCAACACATTCTGAAAAACAGTTGCCAAGTTAAACAGATTTTGGTTTGTAGCAGATATAGGGCTGAATGGCCTGTTCCTGTGATGTAAAGTGTATGTAAATCTATGTAATCTTATCTGTTCATGAAACCTCTCATGTGGGGGTGGGCCCGTAAGATTACAAAGAAGGTTTGCATGAGAAAAACCCTTCAGCTGCCTCAATTACATCCTTCCTCCTCATTCACTATCCCAAACTTTTAGAATATTACTCCCAAGTGGCCTTTGGGTGAGAGCATGCCTGGAATTTGTTCATTGCTCCCCACAGTTGACCGTCTGCAGCACAGTCTACTGACCTTTCGGTTCACATATGAATGGCTCTCACTCAACGCACAAGGGTAGTGCTCCTTCTGCCTCAAACAATTGCCTTCATTGACTGATGCACATGTATAATTACCTCACTGTTATAACAATAATACATACATTTGGTAAATAGCACTTTTCATGTCCGGAGGTCATCACAATGGGCTTTAGAAGATTTTATTGTAAAGTGTAGTGCCTTTGTGTTTGGAGACAAACGTCTCAGCCAAATTTCCGACAAACAGACATAAAGCGAGTGACCAGCTTTATTTGGGGGATTGTTGGCCAGAACACTGGGAGAAACACCTTTCACTTTTCGAATGGTGCCAAGGCATCTTTAATGACCACTTGATCAGAGAAACGGGGTCTCAGTTTAACATCTCATTCGAAATACAGCATCTCCAAAAAGCAGCACACCCGCAACACTGCACTCGTGTCAGCATAGACTGCGAGTTTAAAATCCTGACATGTGGCTTGAACCAAAATTTTCTGACTCAGAGGCAAGAGTACTACTTACTGAGCCAGACTAACAAGGCTGTAACTGTTCAATGTATAAACAGGATGAACCGACAACAGGAATGGACCCAAAGGCTCGGAGATTTCTATGGAACTCTATCCTTAGTATCATTAAAGAAGGCCGATCGGTGGTACTGACATCACACAGGTATGGGATGAAAGACTTGATTTTAATGTTTGAAATGTTCACTTGGTGTCCAACATGCCTCTGTTGTAAATAACTGTTAACGCACAGAGTACATGGGTACATTATGTAATGAGTAATTTTTATTGTTGTGTATAAAAGGAATTCTTACATGAATGAGAAAAACATGGAATTTGGCTGCTTTGCTGTCCACGGTTGCTAGACATACATGAGCAAAACTGGTGGATGTTCTGCGGAGATTGTTTTACCTAAAGCTTCTGTATGACTGTTGGTTTTAAGATACAGAAGTTTACACACCTGACGGATAGCTGTCATCTCACAAGAGCTTGGGGAGGATTAATGCTCCATGTTGAATCACATAAAAAGGAAATTTCAACTCTATTTCTACCGATTACAGTAGCATATGGTTACAAAAGTTATTTTGATTTTCATATTCATGTTCCCTCGTCGGTGTATAGTTTATTTTTAAAAGGGCTGCAAAGGTGGCATTTGAATCCATTGATAGTGGAATTTAAGTCTCAAAGACTTAAACAAGATAAACATGGTGCAAATTGGTCTAGTGACACACAGAATCCTGCATGATTGCTTACTACAAAATACTGAGTAAGTAAGGCTTATGACTTTTCGATGTTTGTTTCCATATAGCATGGAGGAATGTGAGGCTCTGTGCACTCGGATGGCAATAATGGTGAATGGCAGGTTCCGATGCCTGGGCAGCGCTCAGCATCTGAAGAACAGGTTGGTCATGCGAGCACGACAGCAATCCAGAATCTATTAATCAGTGACAATGACAACTTTCCCGAACCATTTGTCAATACATTTGTCAACAGAAATGTTAACAGAATATTTCAAATCTGGAAAAATAAATCATGGTTCAGTGCGATGATGAATATTAAGAGAATTGGGATTGAATATGCAATGATTTCTAACATGACAGGAAAATGAAAAGTTAATGGCGCTCAATGTTTCATCTTCGAGGAGAATGACCACTGTTGACTTTTTTCAACAGCATTTCCGGTCAATGGGATAATGTCACATGTTTCATTTTCCTGCCCCCTCCTCTCAATTCCAAAATGAAGGTGGGATTCATCATTGTGTTTGTAGATCTGCATATTTCACACACAATCAAAGCTGATGATGCATTCACCTGCAAAACACACAGCCACTACATTTTACAGTGAAGCACTTTGAGATGATCCCCCAATATGAAAGGCTTTGCATCAAATGTAAGGAATATTGTATTATTATTCATTATTATAATTAACCCAGACAATTTCTGACTTTTACAATGCTTCTTCCCTCGGCAGGTTTGGAGATGGATATACGATAATTGTGCGGGTGGGTGGTCCAAGTCCAGACCTGAATCCCATGCTGGAATTCTTCAAACGCAAGTTTCCTGGCAGCGTACTGAAGGAGAGACATCGTAGTATGCTCCAGTACCAGCTGCCTTCCTATCAATCCTCATTGTCGAGGATCTTCAACATTCTCTCCAGTCACAGGGAGAAGTTTCAAATCGAGGACTACTCTGTTTCACAAACCACACTCGACCAAGTACGGCTTCACTTTTTGGTGGTTTATTGAATCTATGCTAAGCCTTGACTGTTGTTGAAAACTGGTTATCGAACTCCATCCCCACAGTCCCTTTGCCTCACTCCCTCCCTTGCCTCCCTCAAGATTCTCCTCTTCGACAGTGCCTTTGGTCACCCTCTTACCCCTACCGTCCACCCCTGCTAATCCCTACCCCAGCTTGTGTCCAAATCTCTTAACTGTCCAGCACCTTGGGACATCCTCCTGACATCCCAGGATGCAATACAGATGTAATTTGTTGTTTTATGTCCAATGCAATTGTTTGTTTCTTTGATTTCCCTTATCCCTTGCACATTCATAGAAATAAGAGTAAGTCATTCAGCCCCTCAAGTCTTTTCCGCCATTGTATAAGATGATGGCTTATCTGTACCTCAAGTCCAACTTCCTGCCCTTGACGTGGCCTTTAATACCCTGACCTAACAAATAACTATCCACCTCAGTCTTGAAGATGTAAATGGATCCAGCTTCCCAATTCCCAGTTCATCAAAATGGGTGAGCTTCTGGCAAGCCTGTCCAGACCAATGTATGATGGGCTATCCACGCAGTCGACTTCCCGCCTCAATTTTTCCAATGCCCTCTTTGCTAGTTTCCCTAGCTCCTCTATTCATAAAATTTAATTAATGCAAAACTCCGGCACCCGTAACCTCACACATGTTAAACTCTGCACCCCATCACCCCAGTCCTTGTCAGGCTCCACTGGTTTCCTGTAGAGTCCTGTGGAGTCCAGGACTGAAGTCCTGTAGCTCAGTGGTTAGAGCACTCGCTTTGCAAGCGAGAAACCTGGTTTCGATTCCCGGCAGGATGAAACCTTGGGCAAGTTTCCTTACTCCACATGCCTGACAATAATCCCTCAAGAAAAAAAACAATAAATTGGCCATTTTCAATCCACGACAGTTTGTGGGACACTGCTATGCGCAATTGGCTGCTGCATTTCGCCTGCAAATATACACAATTAATTCACTTTACATTATATTGTGTGAAGCGCTTTAAGACGTCTAGAAGATGTGAAAAGCGCTATATCAAATGCAAGGATTATTATTATTCCTGTTGCGCAATGGATCAATTTCAAGATCCTCACATTGATGTACAAATCACTTTATGCCCTGGCACCTCCATATCTCTCTGACCTGCTTACACCCCATTCCTCTACCCATCTCCTTTGCTCAGCTGGCTTAGATCACACATGAAGCCCTTCCTTTTTGACCATACCTAAGGTCACTTTCCTTCTCTCCCTGGCTCGGCGACAGAATGCTGCCACTGTTAAACTCTCCGAAACGCTACCCCACATGGAGATCGCTATATAAATGCAAGTTGTTGTTGCTGTACCTGTGCAACAATAAATGTGTTCTGGGTTGTCCCTCTTTCCCTATCTCCCAATTCTTGAGTTGGCAAAACATTTGTCACCAAGTAATGGACCTATGTAATTGCATTGCATAAGATGCATTTCACTGTAAGGTTGAAGAGTCACAGTTTAGGAAGAATTCTCTTTATTATATCTGCCTTTCTCTTGCATTGATATTAAGATGCTAACACTAGTCAATGACAGATCTGTTATAAATTAGCACCTTCAGGTAATTAGGACCAGGGAATCACGTTCAATCTCACCTAAAAAAAACTACCTCTTCAATTTGGCAAAAGTTCAGCTACTCTTCATCTTCATTCCTTGCTCAACATCTAAAACTATCCCTTTGAACCATTCTGAGATGTTATCTTGTGTGAAGGGCTCGGTATAAATGCAAGTTGTCACATAGTTGGTGAATCCAGGCAATGGTGGTATATTGGTCTGTCCAGTACTCAATTATGAGAAGCTGCACAACCTACAATAACCTGGCAATAAAGTTGGGCGTTTAAAAATACTAAATAATAGTGCTCTTTTCTCTAAGGTTAATTATTTACTCATTCGTTTGCAGGTATTTGTAAACTTTGCCAAGGACCAAAGTGATGATGATCTCTCAAAGGACGTTTCTATGCACAGGAATGAAACTGTGTTAAATGTTGCACTCCTCAATACCTTTTTGCAAGATGACAATGTGAAAGAGAGCTGTGTGTGAATTGAGCAGTCGGGACTGGAAACAAGCTCATCTTCTCACACAGTGTGAACCTTTCAAGGAGAAGGAGGACATTAAAGAAACAAGAAAGAACTGGTCACTCTGCTGATGCCATTCAATGCAATTCAATGCACAATTCCACTATTGTAACAAGGCAATGCCTCAGTTAGTTGTTGCTCATTAGTACTGATACTAAGCATAAAACTTGAATATAGATAGTGTTACAGTATGACTTTGTGAAACTAGTGTTGTATTTCTATGTACTTTTCGGTTACTGATTTTAAAAAAAAGCATCTTTTTCCTTTTCATGGCTCTGACAATCCGTTGGTTATTGATTAGTTATGGACAGTAATTGAGTATTAATGGATCAATAACACCTACAGTATACACACAAATATTTGTTTCAGTATAAAAACTGAAATATTTACCAAAGTCCTGGCTTAATCCTTCCAATAATTTCCCCAACCTCCACAAACCAGATTTTCTAACAAAATATTTTGTTGTGATTCTTAACAAGTATTTATTTACACATGACAAGTATACCTAGGTAAAACATAAGTGTTTACAAAATTATCCCTCCCTTGCCTTATTAGTGAATTTGTATATTTCTATAATGACTAGAGTTTTCTTATTGGTCAATCATCTGCATTTTATTTTTCAATTTTTTTTGTAAAATCTCTCCCATGGTTTCATTCCAAGCACTTTATGCAGATTGCTCTGGCATTTTATTGTTTAGATTTTGTTTGCACTGTAATATCAGCAAGCCTTATATAAAAGCAAACAAAAACATACAAAGCTTGGTTATGACAGAGGTTTGACGTTGTAACTTTAAAGCCATTTTTCATAAAAAAGTATTGCAATACCAAAACATTTTTTATCTGAGAACGTATTGTGTGGCTTTATTTGTATGTTCTTTTAAGTTTGTCATGATTTAAGTTACAAAATAAAATTGTGATAACATTGAGAATGTCAGTCATCAGGTACTAGTGGATTTGGAAATGCTTTCAATGTATCGTTCTGTGTTTTCACTGTGAAAGTTGTGAAATATCCTGGGTACAATATCACCACAACGTGCTGTAAATTGAAACAACATCTTGGATTTAAATAGCGCCCTTCCCGCCCGACGGCATCTCAGAGCGCTTCACAGTAATGGATCCTGGGGCCGAGCCAGGGGGATGGGGAGGAAGGTGACCAAAGGCGCGGTTGAAAAGAAAAGTCTTCAGCCGAGACCTGAAAATAGGAAAAGGGGAGGAGGTGAAGGGAGTGAAGAAGGGAGTACCAGAGTCTCGGGACATAGTGGCTGGAGCAGAGGACTCAGGGGACAAGAAGGAGGCCAGACCCGGTGGAGAAGGCAACGGGCACTGTTGTGAGGAGAGAGGTCAGAGAGATAGGGGGGTGCAGAGGAGTGGAGGGATTTGAAGACAAGAGTGAGGATCTTAAAGTCGATCCTCTCTGGGACAGAAAGCCAGTGCAGTCTGGCAAGGACTGGGGTAATCGGGGAGCGGAGTTTGGTGCGGGTAAGAATGCGGGCGGCAGAGTTTTGTATGACCTGAATTTTATGAATGGTAGTGGAGGGGAGACCGGCGATGAGGGCATTTGATTAGTCCAACTGAGAGGTGACAAAGACATGGACCAGGGTTTCAGTGGCTTTTGGAGTGAGGTATTGGCGGAGACAGGCAATGTGTCGGAGGTGGAAGAAAACGGTGCTGGTGAGGGACCGGATGTGGGGGAGGAAGGATAATTGGGGGTCTAGGTTACGTACGGGTTCGGAGAGTTTTAGAGGGAGGTTGGGTAGGTGGAGGAGGTGAGAACCATGTGATTTAAATAGCTTATGAATCCTGGTCGTAGACACGATCTAACGGACGAATGGGTAACCTTGTTGGGAGAAGGCATTCGGATAGTTGGTGGTGTATCTCAAAATAATCGTCAAAGAATTAGGGTGAACTAATTCTTCTGAATACAGACTCCTCACTAATGTACTTCCACTTTAATCCGAAGTCAAGTGGCATTGCAGCAGCGAAATCTCTTAACGTGGGGTTCTAGCCACTGTTTCCCACAGTGATTTCCAGTGTGGAGAGTTACAGAATACAAGTCAGGTGCTTTCCACAGGAAAGGGAATAAAAATCATTCTGACCAACAAAGCCCAGCAATAGGTAAACAGTCCCCATTCATCTTTTTTGGAAAAAAAACAATAAAAGTGGTGGAAAACATTTTCAGGGGACAAATCAGGGGTAATGTATGACTCTAGGCCCCAAATCTATTTTCTCATCCCATATTCAATTTAAGTGCAGTCAAAGCAGAAATAAACACAAGGTTTGTACATCGGATGTTGACTGAACAGCCCGCACAGCAAAGGAGGTCATGTGCTTGTGTGTTGCAAACTTCTACTGTAAGGTTGTTTGATGCTTTTGAGGTCAATGCAAAATGAAGATAAACATCAACTTCATTCTGATCATTCGCTAATATTTTACCAATTCTGGAGGTCAGTTGCCTTAACCAGCATTTCTTTTGCAGAAGCCGGATGCCCCTCCTTCCAAATGTAAATCCAACATTTTCTCGGACTCCCAATACTGATTTTTTTTCCCAGAAGTGGGAAACTAAACGCACAGTTCAGATTTAATTTGACTATAAAACACTCAGTCTCTACACTTTGCAGTATTTACTGTGAAGGGCTTTGGGATGCCGCCTTGGTGTGAAAGGCTCTATACCAAAGGCAAGGGGTTGTTTTGGGATAGACACAGGCACACACACAGTTGCTCTAATTTCTAGTAATCAGACTGCCACATTTGATCAGCTAATTCTGACTTCCATTTTTCAATACTGAAAGCTGTGTAACACATTCGTAAAGTCGCTAATCTCAAATTCTGAAAGCTTGTGAAGTGCAGAAAAAGGCTGGAAAGAAAACCACCATTGAGCTTGAATACCACCTAGTCAGACCTTTCCAAAATGTCTTCACACACTTTACTCAAATCTGTGATATTTTGATGTCAGTGAGGATACCAGTGGTAACTTCCAATGGTTGAATATTGTACCATCCAGGTTTACACTTGAAGACTGCCCAACAACAACAACAACAAATTACATTTGTATAGTTACTGCTTTTCACGTCGGGAGGACATCCCAAGGTGCTCATCTGATGGATAGCACCTTCAACAATGCAGCACACCCCCGACCCAGAACTCCATTGGAGTGTCAGACTAGACTATATAAGTTCAAACTCATGATGCTTCAACCTTCTGCCAAAGTGACAGAACTACCAACTGAGCCAGTCTGTCACATAAATTAACAGAAAATAAAATCATTTGCAAATATTTTATTATGGAAACTTTGACAGGTCAAATCGCAGTAGACAAAACGTAAAATGTGGCCCCTTTATTACAATGAGTTCCTGTTATTAGAGTCATATCAAGTATAGCACAAGTAGTCACTGGCAATATTGTAACACGTGTATTTAGAATAGATGATCATAGTCCAAAGTCCCAGAAAACACTGCGTTATAAACACTAAGGAAGTCAGCTTGGCAGTCATTAACCTTCAGAGATGTGTATCATTTCAAAGGTGAATAAGGTGTAGGAATTAGTAGTTTGTTACTGTGGTTCACCAGGTAGACAGCACTGTCCCTCACTGTAAACATAAAACAAGTATATTTTAACTTTCAATATCCGGAACATAACATCAAAACAATATGGCAATAAGAATAATAATCCTTGCATCTGATATGGAGCTTTTCACGTCTTCTAGACGTCTCAAAGCCCTTCACAGAATAGACTGTAAAGTGAATTGACTGGATATTTGTGGGCGAAATGTGGCAGCCAATTACACAGCAGTGTCCCACAAACAGTCGTGGATTGAGTGACCAAATTATTATTTTTTTTTAAGGATTATTATCTCCGTAGAAGTGATCCGCCAATTCACTAACAACCGGGTTCCTACTTACTGCTGGGTAAACAGAGGCATGTGGAGTAAGGAAACTTGCCCAACATTTTGCCCTGCCAAGAATCAAACCCAGGTCTCTCATTTGCGAGGCAAGTACTCGAACCACTGAGCTGTAGGACTCCACGATAATTGTGCTTTTAATACAATGGCTTATCATGTCATTGAAACATCTCAAAATTCTTCACATGATTTACTGTTGTCTAGCAACTTCGTAGGTGAATGCCAATTTGAACACAGCATTACGCCACAAATAGCCAATTTTATCTGGGCTAAGTGTTAGCTCAGGCATCAGGGCAAACTCCGTCCTCTTGAGTTCAGCTGATATCCCTTCTACCTGTTCAGTTGGATATTTAAGATCCCATGGTGCTATTTGAAAAGAGAAACGAGTTTCTCCCTATGTCATAGCCAACAATCCCCCAAAATAAATTTGGTCATTCAGTTTATGGCTGTTTGTGGGACATTGCTGTGCAAAGTGGCTGCTGTACTCCCTTACAAATAAACACGCTACGCTATACAAATTTAGTGAAATGCTTTGTGACATTTTAATAGTGTGGTAAAATGCTGCATTAAATGCAACAATTAGTATTAAATATTTAAAATTACACACTTGCAACTTCTTTGAGTACCTCATAAATGGAGGAAAAGGTTATTCTGCAAGTTATTTTGTTCTACCATATTTATCCATTTTTTCTCATATTACTTGCATGTTCTAATTTATGAAATGTTATAAGGGGTTACAAATGGCTACATCTCTGCACATGCAAACTGGACTGAGTTGAGAGTCTTCATAGTTATGAACAGATGAACAAAGCTTTATTCCTTTGATGCCCTTTTCTACATTATTAGAAAAATTATATTAAAAAGCAAGCTTACCTGCTGCTACTACCCTGGAATCATTGTGTGCGATGTGCCTTCCAGAAGCACGGCTATCAGCATTCTCATACCACCAGAGAGCATGGACTGCGAAACAACACAATCTTAAATTAGATAAAAGGGTTTTGGGTTGTGGGGCGGGCACTCGTGCGGAAGAATAACAAAGAAAACATTTTTAATTGGTCGTTGATACAACTATCTATTCAATAGGTCAACCTAATTTTTTTTCTTTCCATGGTAAAACTGTAACATGTTACTCCCTACATTGTGCTGCCAGTCTTTCCTGTCCTCTCCCTTTCCCAAGTCAGGCAATCCCCTATGTGCCTCAATCACTTCTGTGTAGATCGGTAGAGAGTTCCCAGATTGACTTCTTCATGCTGTTCATCAGGTTACATTCATTCATCTAGAAATGGAAGATCTTGGCATTTAGATTTCAATTCACATACATCCCAAAAAAGTGTCTCATTCACACATAAAGCTCTACATTTTTACTACAACAACAACTCGCATTTATATAGCACTCCTCACACAGGGCAGTGCACCAGAGTGTTTGACAGTGGCAGAGCTCAATGCTGAGCCAGTGATGGGTGATCGTAAGCACGGTCAAAAAGGAAGGTCTTCGGGCATAACCTGAAGATAGGGAAGAAGGGACAAGGTGGAGAGATTGAGGGAGATTGTTCCAGAGTTTCGGGGTATAGTGGCTTAAAGCTCCAATACCCCAAAAGTGGCATAACGACCCATAATAAAGATGGTGGAACGGAGGGAACGAGGGACAAGCAGAAAGTCGGAGCCAGTCCAGGGAAGGCAATGGCTAGTGGGTTGGGAGTAAGCAGGTCAGAGAAGTTCTAGTGTAATAGACGTTCTTAGTTGTTGATCATCAATTTTTTTTATGCAGTATACCCAAGTTTCATTGCAAATAAGGTTGACTTAGAATATTTTGTTATATTGTCCTTTTTGATATTATGAACATACTCAGAAAAATAGGATTGATGGAAGATTCTTCGTACATGTTTACACTGTAGTGCAACACAATATAACTCCCACTTACAATTCAATACATGGCCACAATCTCAACCCTTTGTGAAGAGAACAAGCGAAGAATGGTTGCTAAAGTTGCTCCTATGACAGATAGGAGATTAAACTCAAGGAAAGCAACGCCCAGAAGCAAGTTATGGAAAATCAATGGTTAAATTAATCACAGCCTTGGGAAAGGTCCCACCTATAGTGAAAGTCCACATCCGGACCACGTGACTCATCTATCTTGAGCACCGACAACCTGTTTCGTACCTCCTCTCGGTTTATTCTTATGCTATCCAACTTCTCTACTCTCTCCTCTGATACTGCGACATTGGCTGCATCCTCTTCTTTTGTGAAGACAGATGCAAAGTACTCATTCAGTACGTCAGCCATGCCCTCTGCCTCCACAAGTGTGGGTGGGGGGAGCAGTGACTTGGATGATGAGCATTAAAGAGTTTTGTTTTAAAATTGTGAAAAATCCTGAAAACTGCAATAAACCATATTAAGAATTAAGTCTTAGTTTTTTTTAAAAAAGATACTTATCCCATTTAGTAATGCAAATAATTTGGAGACATGGACCAATATTTTCTCACCCTTTTCCTGGTGAGCAATGCTGACAGTGGATTCTTACAAGTAAAGCAGCAGAACAAACTTTCACGTCGGAGCCAGGTCATAACCTCTTAATGGTAGAATTTCACTCTTGGGTGCAGCAGCAAATAATAACAACAACAATCCTTACGTCTGCTATAGCATCTTTTATGTTGGGAGGACATATCAATGTGCTTTTCAAGGTATCAAGAAAGGTAATAATAATAATCCTTGCATTTGATATAACGTCTTATCATGTCTTCGAGACATCTCAAAGCGCTTCATGACTCTGTTTGTGGGTGAACAGAACAGCCAATTTGCACAGAGCAAATGTCCTGCAAACAGCCATGAGGTGAATGAAAAACCTTGGTATCCTTGCCAACAATCCCCAGATAAAATTGGTCACTCACTTCATGGCTGATTGGGGCCATCGGTGTGCACAAATTGGCTGCCATGTTCAATCACAAAACATGCGGTGTCTCCACTTTACAGTATGTCCTGTGATGTGCTTTGGGATGTCCTTCCAATGTCAATAGCACTTCACAAATGTAACTATTATTATTATTCATGTTTCCATGAATGAGCTTAGTTAGTTCTTGGATAGAGCACTGTGCAACAGTAGAGAGCTCCTTCCCATGGGAGTAAAGGAGCATTCAGTGGACTCAGAACTAGTCCCATAAAAGTATTCTTTACTTTATCCATCCAGAACATTCACCTTAACTTTTTCCCATGACAAAGCTGGATCCTAAATGAGTCCAGTGTCATTGCCTTTACTATCTGTGAGGTAACCTTTTCAAGCTGTTAACTCCCCTCTGTATAATTATAGATAGAACTATTGACGACTGTCCTACAATTGCTCTTCACAACCTGAACCTCATTCTTGACGCAACTTCTACAGCAGCTTTGCTAGTGCCCCTGGCCATGCCTGTGGTGAAGACAACAATAACTTGCATTTATAACTACTAGTGGCAAAAAAGTGGCATGAATAAATAGATAAAATACAAAGACTTTTTTTTGTCACAAAGCCAAAAACGTGCGAGCAAACTCCAGGACAACATTTTGTTACATTAGCTACACATTTCACATCACGGTTTGCATCAAAACGAATATTAGGTTTGGAATCAGATTTACCTTTGTTGAGCAAGCCAAATTCAGTGTGGAACACTCCAATCAGAGAGCAATACCCAACATTAGCGTGACTGTTCAGTGCCCTTTGGAAAGCTTGGCCCCAAACAGCAGGTCCTCCTGGCTTCATCTGGTAACTTACTAATTCGTACACACCTATTTCAAACAAAAAAATCAACAATTTTACAGGAAATCTGCATTGCTGGATTTTTTGGAGGGGTTTTAGATAAACAATTATTGAATTAATTGTGCCAGACTAAACCCAAGTGGTCCAATGCATGATATGGCTTGCTTTGAGATTACAATGGTGCTCATGACAGATGCCTGTAATGGGAACATTTTCCATTCCCAAGATTAGACTTCCTTCATGAGCACAAAATAACAGATGAGGAAAAAGGAACACGCTTGCTTGCCTTCTTTTGGTGGTTTGATTAGCTTCGACCATGGCACCATGTAATTTACTTCGTTGGACTGATTGACAAGCATTGGCAACATCTTCGAGATGTAATTCTCTTGCCATTCCTTTTCTTTAGCCAGCGCTGCCCGGACCCCTGAACGTTGGCTATAATTGTCTGATAAAAAAACAGGAAGCAACAGTTTATTCAGAATAACCTTGTATACTCTTAACACCAGATTACACATGAATATAGGATCATGCAATACAATATATACATATTTAAATTTATGTAGCACCTTCACAACAGGACGATGTCTCACAGAACTTAACAACAATGGCTTGGCACCTAAGCTGGGGGTGTGAACTGACGGGGAAGATGAGCAAAAGCGAGTCAAAGGTAGGATTTGAGATGGGTCTTGAACGAGGTGAGTGAGGGAGTGAGTCAGAGGGAATCTGCAATGGTATCCCAGATAACAACAACAACTTGCACTTATATAGCGCCCCTCCACGTAGAGTAGCATCTCAGTGCGCTTAACAGTGGTGGAGTCTGACTCCGAGCCGGGTGGGGGGTGGGAGGTGGCCGTAAGCACGGTTGAAGAAGACAGTGGGGGCAGATAGGGTGAGAGTCTGCTTGGCAATGGTGGAGCGGGTCGAGTGGGGGATCTGAAGCAGGCTGGTTTCAATTTGGAGATCTCAGGATTAACAACCTCACTTCTGCTCTGTTGTCTCTTTTTACTTTTATTTTCCTAGTATTTCTACTTTCTTTTATCCTAGGTTATATATTACTTTGAGTGTTTCTTATTGCATTATGTATTATATCACTAGTTTGGCTGATTTTATTTTAAATGGTACCTGTTTTCTTTTGCCACCGGAAACATGCTCCAGCTGTAAGGCACCCTTTTGAAATTTGGTTCAATGGATGGCTAAAGATTGAAGGCCAACTGAATCTCAGAAGATTGATTTGGTCACACTGATGAAGCAACCAAGTGATGCTTAATAATAATATTGATAATTCTTGCATTTGATATAGCACCTTATCATGTTGTCAAGACGTCTCCAAGTAGTTTACAGGATATCTTGTGGTTTTACTCCGTATTTTGTGTGTGAAACACAACAGCCAGTTTTGCGTACAGCAATGTACCAAACAGCTATGGAGTAAGTGACCAATTGTAGATTTGAGGGATTGTTGGCCAGAAACACCGGGAAAAACTCACTTCTCTTGTTGAATAGCCAGCCATAGGATCTTTAATGTCCAGCTAAATAGGCAGAAAGGACCTTAGTTTAATGTCTCATTCAAAAGATAGCACCTTTGACAATGCCACCACTACCCAGTACTGCATTGGGAGTGTCAGCTCAGACAATGTGATTCCAAATACTGACATGGGGCTTCAACAGTTGAAATATGTGTATAACCAACAAACACTTTACTAGTTCAATATGCAGCAGTGATTGTTTTTGGAGAATAAAATACAATTTACCATATTTCCAAATATGAAAGACTTCATTGAGACCCCCAAGATCTGCAGACCAGTAACCGATTAGCTCTGAATGGGCAGTGCGGAGGTGAATATTATCCTTTGTAAGCTTCAAAAAGTCAATCATCTTTGCTGGCTTTATGGAATAAGTACGAAATTCATAAAAAGTCCCTTCTTGTTGTTGGGATCCTAAGGAACGCTCAGCACGCACCTGAAGGCAAAAATAATAACAAATTAAATTTGTATAACGCCTTTCACATTGGGAGGATGTCCCAACACTCTGGACAGTCAGGGATTTGGATCTGAGCAGTGGATTGAGATCAGGTGAGGAGGAGGGCAGGGAGGATAGGGGTAGGAGGGAGGCCAAAGGCGCAGTCGAAGAAGAGGTTCTTGAGACGTGCATTGAAGAGGAAAGGGAGTGAAGGGACTGTGGGATGGAGGTCCAAAGGGTGAGGGCAAAGAGGCTGCTGATGGTGGGGAGGACTGGGCGGGGGACGTGGAGCAGGCCGGAGCCTGCTGATCCGAGGGAGCGGACGCTTGATATAGCGAGCGGGAACAAAGGTAAATAATAATTTGATATACTACTTTTCTAGGCATATCAATGCGCGTCAGATTATACTGTAAAGTGAATTGACTGTATACTTGTGGGCGGCAGCTAATTGCACACAGCAGTGTCCCACAAACAGTTGTGGATTGAAGCAACCTATTTTATTATAGTTTTTTTTCTTGAGGGATTATTATCGGGCGTGTGGAGTAAGGAATTGAACCCAGGTCTCTCGCTGGCGAGGCGAGCACTCTACTACTGAGCTACAGGATTCCCAGAGTCTTAAGTCATCAAAGTGTCAATATCCCAACTACATTTATGTATTTCCAGTTACCTAACTTGCCACTCCTTATAACTCGTCATCACGCACTGTTCCCTTGGAGCGACGAGTTATCAGGAGTTTACAGTACAACAAACATAAACATTCACATCATTTTCTCCATATCGATATTTCAAAGTATGAATTTACTATTTTCAGATGTGAGGTGAAACATTTGCTGTTATTTGAGCACCACACATTAGTGAGTCAGTCAGAGCACTTTCTGGTGGTTTTGCAACTGGGTCATAGGTGCTGAACAAACTTTCTCTTTGTTGTGGGGACCATATACCCAGAGCCGGTTTTTGGAATAGGTGAATACTGAAGCTGGAACTGCACAGTATTTCTAACTGTAATCATAAGTCAAAGGATTATTATGGTTAGTTTGCACACAGCAATGTCGCATAAACAGACATGAGGTCAGGGGCATAACAAAGTCCCAGGGGGCCCCAATGCAAGAATAGGTTAGGGGCCCCCTTCCCAATTCCGAAATCTAACATTTGCTTAGTGTACTGGCATGTACCAGCACATTTCAAGCTTTGGAGACAGGGAAGTATTTCTAAAATGGCTCAAATATTTCTTGGGGGTATGGAGGTATGTTTCTGCCCCGCAACATGCTGGCACCAATGGGTTGCCCCACACCCCAATAACCTCATTGGCCCTGGCTTGACAACATTATTGTACTTGTGCCACAGCATGAGATGAATGACCAGTTTTACATGGTGATTGTTGGCCAAGAAACTTCCCTTTTCTAATACTGGGATGGAATCTTTAATAACCACACGAACGGGCAGATGGGATCTCTGCTGAAAGTTTCATCCTTCGGTGAATATCGCTCCTTCTGCTTGTTTTTATTGAGCATGCGCGAGATGCCACCCAGCAGTGACTCACAGGTTGGAGACCCCTGCAGAAGGTTGTGAGTTCAAGGCCCATATCAGGACTTGGATCCCATATAGTCTAGGCTGACACTCCAATGCAGTGCTGGGGAGGTAACAGACTAACTAACAGACTGCTAATTCTGACATCTTATTCATCACTAAAATAATTCACCACTCTGAAGGTTGATGATTGCTATGCTCACTTCTTTACTAGTGTTTGTATCGCAAATTATCTTTGTGACTTTGGACTGTGATCATCTAAACACATGTATTGTAATACTTGGGAGTCCTATAGTTCAGTGGTTAGACCACTCATCTTGCAAGCGAGAGGACCTGGGTTTGATTCCCGGCAAGATGAAATGTTGGGCAAGTTTCCTTACTTTGCAATGTTTGAGGCGCCATCCTTCAGAGGAGACATTAACTCAAGATCCAGTCTGTCCTGTCAGGTGGACATTAAAGTTCGGATAGCACTTTGAAAAGAAAAGGATGTTTCTCTTGCTGTCCTGACCAACACTCACCCCCCAAAAAATTGGCCACTCATTTCATAGGCGTTTGTGGGATATTGCTGTGGATAGATTGCCGACCACATTCACCCACAAAATACGCAGTCACACTACTTTACTGTATATATCGCACGAAGAGCCTTCAGACGTCTTCACGGTGTGAAGTCTACATTAAATGCAAGGATTGTCGTACATTGTTATTTTAAAAGAGCAATGCTGTGTACGTTTCAAACGCCCCACGACACGACCGCGGGCGATCAACACAACTTAAGTTCGAAACACCAGTCGATTGCTTTTGAACATTAACGACTGAATTCATTACTTGGGTGAACACTTAAAGCCCAGACGCACAGTGCCAGAGAGAAAGTCCAGTCAGTGTTCTTGCAATGGTCTGTGGTGCTCAGAAGAGGGTTAGGCTCTGAGAGTGGAAGCACTGGGTGGGGTGGGGGTGTTGGTGCCGTGTTTGCACCTGAGATATGGGGGGGTGGGGTTAGGGGGGAAAGTGTGGAGTCCTGTAGCTCAGCGGTTAGAGCACTCGCTTCGCAAGCGAGAGACCTGAGTTCAATTCCAGGCAGAGGGCGAAACCTTGGGCAAGTTTCCTTACTCCACACAGAGCCTAATAATAATCCCTCCAAAACCAAAACAATAATAAATTGGTCATTTTCAATCTACGACTGTTTGTGGGACATTGCTGTGCGCAATTGGATGCCGCGTTCGCCCACAAATATACAGTCAATTCACTCTGTGAAGCGCTTTGGGATGTCCTCCCGACGTGAAAAGCGCTATATCAAATGCAAGGATTATTATTATTATTAAAGGGGGGGAAGAGAAAGAGGAGATGGTGCTGTTACCTGTTTGCTGATGTCGCGGGGCGCGAGGAGAGGCGCAGCGAGTGCCCGCACTCTGCTCCAGGTGCTCTTCAGCTTGGACATGGCGCCTGGTGCAGGGCAGGGAGGGCAGGAGGGCAGGCAAGGAGGGCAGGGAGGGAGGGCAGGAAGGCAGTGGTGCAGGGAGGGAGGGCAGGCAGGGCAGGGAAGGCAGGGCAGGGCAGGGAAGGCAGGGCAGGGCAGGGAAGGCAGGGCAGGGCAGGGAAGGCAGGCAGGGCAGGGAAGGCAGGCAGGGCAGGGAAGGCAGGGCAGGGAGGGCAGGGCAGGAAGGCAGGCAGGGAAGGCAGGCAGTGCAGGGAGGGCAGGCAGTGCAGGCAGGCAGGGGGGGGGGGGCGGGGGGGAGGCAGGGCGGGGGAGGGGGAGGGCAGGCAGGCAGGGCAGCTCCTCCCACACCCCCCCCACACTGACCCACCCCACACCCCCCCCCGAGCAGCTCCTCCCCCACACTGACCCCCACACCCCCCACACACACACACACACTGACCCCACCCCCCACACCCGCGGGAGCTCCTCCCCCCCAACCCCCACACTGACCCCCACACCCCGAGCAGCTCCTCCCCCACAGCCCCCACACACTGACCCCACACCCGACAGCTCCTCCCCCACACCCCACACACTGACCCCACACCCCCCGAGCAGCTCCTCCCCACACTGACCCCACACACCCCCCCGACAGCTCCTCCCCCACAGCCCCCACACACTGACCCCCACACCCCCCACACCACCCACACCCCGAGCAGCTCCTCCCCCACCCCCCCCACACACTGACCCCCACACCCCCCCCCCCCACACCCCGAGCAGCTCCTCCCCCACACCCCCCACACACCCCCCCACACTGACCCCCACACCCTCCCCCGACAGCTCCTCCCCACACTGACCCCCACACCCTCCCCCGACAGCTCCTCCCCACACTGACCCCTACCCCCCCACACACCCCCCCGGCAGCTCCTCCCCCACACCTCCCCACACTGACCCCCACACCCCCACACACCCCCCCCCGAGCAGCTCCTCCCCCCACACTGACCCCCACACCCCCCCCGAGCAGCTCCTCCCCCACACTGACCCCACACACCCCCCTGAGCAGCTCCTCCCCCACACTGACCCCCACCCCCACACCCCCCCCCCGAGCAGCTCCTCCCCCACACTGACCCCCCACACCCCCCCCTGAGCAGCTCCTCCCCCACACTGACCCCCACACCCCCCCGAGCAGCTCCTCCCCCACACTGACCCCACCCCCCACCCCCCCCCCCCCAGCAGCTCCTCCCCCACACTGACCCCCCACACCCCCCCCCGGGCAGCTCTCCCCCACACTGA